TAATACTTCAAATTAATGAATAAAATATGGTCAGACGGAGCCGGGTTAGTTGGTGAGTTGAAACATAGAGGTTTAGAACCTAAACGCAAGCGGGGCAAGCGTCGATCCGTTGTGAATAAATTGTTTTAGTTTCTTCCAACCTTGTGTGCTAAAGTATGGTCTGTTGCTATCCACACTGCCTCCTAATAATTTGAAGGTATATCCTACGTGGGAAGACTTCAGAGATTCTAAGAATTAACGCGTTGTCCTTTACTTGAAGCAATATTTAACAACGCTGAAGAGGCTGAGGCAGTCGTTGGTTCTAGACTTCATTGCCTACTACAACCGTGTGAACTGAAACCTAACTGATATCATTGTGTTTTCCCGCTATAGTCTGTTAATTACCAACTTTGCGTTGACATACTTAGTTACCTTAATGATAGTCTACCAGAAATCTTATAGGATGCCCAGTCAAAGCGGTTGTCCATTTAGCACCTTCAAGCATGCCCACAATCTATGCTTGGAATCCAGAGTTGTAGTCATTGAACTTGAAGCTCTTTGTAATATGAACGAGGTTGTCATATAGAAATATTTGGGCCTACTCCCCGTCCTATTAGAGAAGCAGCTATTGGATCCTCTTTGGAATTCTCGTTGAATCCTTAACGCCTTGAAAAGGCTCAAGGCGGTTCGGACAATATTTTTTTTTAAACAATAATAAAATTATGTAATATGTAATATTCACCTTTGAATGGCTATAAAAATTACACAAAAATTAAGTAAACTCAATGAAAATTAAAACAAAAAATAAGTGAAGAGAGAAATATGCTAACAGCATAAAGGAACTTTAAACATAAAGTGAACTAAAGCACCACTTGTAGTGACCGTGATTCTCTTTTCGCCATTCATGCGAATGGATTCCAACACTTTAGACGTGCGCAACAATTAAATTCTTCAGTGAAACTACTCACATGGACCACAACAAAAGGCATTTTGTTTTCTTGTGAGATTTGATTCAACAACAAGCAGTTTTACCTACGTCTATGTATGCCTGTGGCAAAAGGACCTTAGCGGTAGTAGACTAAAGGTAGACGCAAAGTATAGTAAATGTGTTGGTACAGAATGCAAACTTGAGTTAAAAGTTTTAAGTTTTCTCTTTTATCTTTCTTAATTTTCAAGTTTTTTTTGTGACCAGAAAACTAAGATTCCATAGTAAGAGTGTTAATTTTATACAAACGATAATAATAATTAAAAAATAATAATAATTAAAATTATGGACGTATACTCGTATAAAAAGGTGTATTTTACACGTCTAGTTTGCAATAAGGCCAGACTTTCTCCTTACTCCGGTGCAAATTTATTACCTAATAATAGGTTCATAATAGGACATTATGGTCCAGCAGAGTCGGTGATTCGAGCAATCGTGGAGCGATTTCGCACCAGGCTTTTGCTAGCAGATAATGCACATCCCAAGAGATGCCGCAGAGTGCGCACTGAATACTGTATTGATGTTGTGGAGTGGTGTGCTCAAAAACCCCCGTATGTGTCCATCCGCCCTCGGGAGAAAGAATTAGAAGAATTTGCGAAATTACTTAGGCGACCGCAGTTAGAAAATTAAAATTATTTTTTTATTTATATAAATTCTCCACAACGGCCAGATCGGGCCACAATCGACATATACAACCTATTTTTGGGATTTGATTCTTTGAGTCATAAATTTGTCAAGAAGCGTAAAATTTTGTATTCTCTAACGGTTTATATAGTCAAATATTGACACAGAAAATCATCACTTTTAAATCGGGTGAAATAAACTGGCATCATTGCTTTTATTCTGATTTTTGTTGCTTAGATTTTACGAGTGGGTTTACCACTGTTGGGTTCCATACTATGGACTGCTGTTTGGCTTCTGGATCATCAGTAACGACTTTACTAAAGTGGCTAGACCGACCATTTTCGAATTTGTCTAGGATGAATTGAGCAAAATATACTCCAGCGTCTTTTTGGTAAAATTCGTGGTACCCATCGAGCTGATTTCTTCGTATATCTGAGATGGTTACTTATTATACTATTCATTAGCAATCATTTCTTGTTTCAATTGGCGATCTTCGTCAATTTCGGACTTCACCAGAACTACAGTGACGTCATCAGTGGAAGATTTGGGTAAAAAAAACGTTCGGTCTGAAAACTTTGGAATCACTTAGAAATAGTCTTGAAAGACCGTCTTCCATATGCAATTTGGCCTTCACTGTATATTTGTATTGGCTGTAAATTATTCGCGAAACCCGAAAAGAATCACATTGCAGATGTCTGTTTGCGTAGGTGATGGAATCTCGTCTGACCTATCATCAGCTTTCTTGCATTTTCTCGTCTCCATTTTGGACGATCGTCTTAAAGTTTGAAAGGAAGATTAATAAAGTGATTGCAAAGGATATTTTTAGATTTAACAAAGGCAGCCGCCTACTGACGAACTTTTGTTTATCCCCTCGTAAACAAATAAACATTGTTAATGAAAATCGACTGAATCTATATATCAGAGCAAAAATTATTATTTAATCCACAATTGAATTGCCAAGGAAGGTACAAAGGTTTAAGAATTACCAAAATGGCTCTGCTTCCATGTTTTATATGTATTTGCCTTACAGTCGGCTATAGTCACTCATCGATGTATGAATTCTAGTGAGTTTACCGTCACGTGATTCGTGGTAGCTAGGATATTGCCCGTTACTACTCTAGCTATAGATTCTGCATGGGCAGATGGCTTGGGACATTTCGCTTCAAATTTTTTCAGAATCTCCCTTGCTACGAGTGGCTATAGAAGCGGCGCCTAAAAGTCGTCCCGAGAGGTTCGTCTTCAAGCTAGCCTAGTAATCCTATTCCAACTACACTCCAGCATGCATTTGCCGCACAGTAGGATGAGATGACAAGTTCTAAAAAAAATAGTTAAGTTGAAAGAAACTTGATGGTGGCAATGGGTATACATATGAAGGGAAATTCAAATAATAGTATAAAAATAGTTTTTATTTTGTTTAAATAAAAATTAAAAATAAATACTTTGTATCGATGTGACTTTCCAGCAAATTAATATATGAGTACACATACATCCGGTTAATAATTTATACAAATTGTGGACAGCATAGCTACATATGTTTGTATATAAACGGAACGTTCTACTACATTCAACATTTAATTCTTTTGTTTATTTTAATTTAATTTTATTTTTCTCATTTTCATTTTACATTTACATATCCCTATGCAATTTTCTATGTATTTCCCATGTGTGTTCCTTTCTGCTCGGATTTAATGCCAACAAAAAGTGACAATTTCCTCTGTTAGCTTTTTTCTTGGTGAAATGTCCAAGCGTAGGTGACCGAAACTAACAAATGTGTGACAGAAGGAAAGAGCTGTTAAGCAATTTTATAGCTCTCATGTGACGTTTCCACATTCTTAGTGTCATTAGATGGTCATTATTGTTATATGCACATACTTGAATGAATGCGATGTGTAGATGCCCTGTAGGAAAATCTAGGAAATTTGTCTCGTCTCCTTTTAGCCTTATAAAATTATCACAACTTTTATGCGATTTTCCTATCCACTTTTTCCACTGAAGGCTTTATTTATCTTAATTAGAATTATCCGATTTATGCAGTCGATTTTAACAGGTTTCTTTTGAGGATAATTCTTAAACATCGAAATCATTCACCGTAAACAAGCACAGATGGTAATAGTTATGTGTCAAGTCCGGACTATAAGATGGTTTTTAAAGAACCCCTGAATCAAACTCTCTGAGCTTATGGAAAGTCCCTATAGATTTGTGTGGTGTAGCTCTGTTGAAACATAATTCTTTTCCTGTTGGCTAAAGCTGAGTACTTCTGTGGGATTGCTTCCTACAGTCGGATCAAACTGCAGATAGTAGAGGTCCGAATTGTGATTTTGGGCGTAGGAGAGCAGCTCAAAGTGGTTGGTTACTTGCCAATACCACCAAACACACAACAAAACCTTCCTGGCCATCAATTTAACACGAAGGTCGTTTGTACCGACTCATTCCGCTTCAACGGAGACTGTTTCAGAAAAGAGTCGTTTTTGAGCTTCTTTGTGTATCTAGTCTTTCTCAAGTGATTCGCACCTGATTCTTGAATAATCGAAACAGTGCCTGCGTGACTACCATTCGACAGCTGACCTTCCACAGCATCAAGCACCTTCTATATCAAAATTACCGAAATGAAATCAACGAATTTAAAATTGAGCATGATGACTATTACGCAGCCAAGATCATAGACACTATTCACATTTTCTGCTGTCTGACTAGTGTTTTCGCTTTTTTTTATCGAAGAGAGTCTGTAGAAAACTTTGGCATGCGCTCAAGCCCTACTGCAGTGAGAGATCAACACTTCTCCCAGCATCTCTCTCAGTATAAAATATCATCTTTCTGACGTCATCTAGCGCAATCCAATCACACTTACAGGACGCGAGATACAGATCAGCAAAGCCATCTATTGCCACCAACTTAATCGATTACTTTTCCCTAGACAAACTAAATGTTTGAATATTGCTAGTGTCTACCGAAATAAAATTAATGTTCTTCAAAAAACTTTTCTTAATAATTACAAATTTTCCACCAGAACCTGCCGGGCATGCCTCTTTCTTCGTTCAACCGCACTTAACAGTACATAGTTTCTGTGCTACGTGAATGTCACTTCAATGCATTAAATTACTTTCGAGCACTTCATGACTCAGCAGCTTCCGTTGAAATAGTTGTGGGAGCTGTTGATAATAAGTCTTTAAACGAGAGCAAAGGATTTTCTTTAAGAAATAGTGAAAAAATGAAACCTGAGAGTTAACCATAAAGACATTAGGCTAAACACCAATGTTTTTTTCGGTATTGACCACAATTTTCAAAAATATATAAAAGACAAAGATTTTAGTTTCAAACAAAAATAAAAAAATTTAATTCTCTTTCCAGTGATCCAACTTTTTGCTAATCAGATTTGTTCCCAATTTTTTATTTTATTTTATATCTATTCTAGTTTGGTTATGTTTGTTGGGTTGATGAAGCTATACTGCCATGGTATACCCACTGCCAATTCGAATCAAACGATAATTATCACAGCGACGGCAACAACAAAAGACGGCACTTCACTCGACGATAAGCAGTTGACACTCAAAGCAGACAATGAACTAGAAAGTATGTATTATAATAGTACAAGTGAAATGCATGGAAATCTTGGCGCAACAAAAGCTAGTTCAAGTATGGTAAGAGTGGGGGACAATATGCCGACCAGCACGACCACATATGCACAAAATAATTACATCACAAACAACAGCATCGATATTGCGTTAACACCGATGATGAGGTAATTGTGAAGTGTTAAAAGTACCACTTTATGATATATTATATAATTCAATTTATTTTATTTAATTTTATTTTATTATATTTTATTATCTTTTATTTTATTTTTATTAATTTCTCTTACTTGTTTATTTTTTTTTTTATTTTTTTTAATTTATTTTATTTTTTTTTATTTTATTTTATTTTATTTTATTTTATTTTATTTTATTTTATTTTATTTTATTTTATTTTATTTTATTTATTTTAATTTTACTTTTTTTTTATTTTATTTTATTTTATTTTATTTTAATTTAATCTTTTCTTGTATTTATTATTATTTTGTTTTACTTCATTTTATTTTGTTTAATTTTTTTATATTTTTTTTTTGTTTTAATTGTAATCTTGTTTAGTTTTATTTAATTGAATTTCCTTTTATATACAAAAATTTTATTTGTTTCTGATACTTATTCGAAAGTACGTGCATTTCAATTGAATCTTCTCTTCCAGCCTTTTACCGCCTAATGTGGCTTTTAACTTAAAAGCGTCCGCCCAAATTGCCGCTAAAGCCACAATTGCAACAACCACAAACACCACTGAAACCAACAGCAAACGGGTGGAAAATAAACGTTATCAACAACAACATGAACATCAGCAACAGCAGCAGTTACCGACCATTACGCCCGCAATGCAGGTGGCACGCATTTACGAATCCTTCCGCGCTCTGCCCGAATTAGATGTCACTAGCCACGACGCTGGTAGCAGAAAGCGTTTCAGACGCATGCCAGATTTACACACCGACTACACGCCCACTCCGACACCTCTACTCACGCCTGAGTACGATGCCGGCTCAACCACTATGTCAACGCAAGCCGCCACAACTGTGGCAAATATGGACGCTAATGTGACAACAGCAACAAATATGCGGAAACGCACTGCTTCGGCGGACATGTTGAGTCGAAATATTTCCATCATATTGGAAAATCTCCTTAAAAGCTATGAACAGTCACAGCTGCCAACGCATGGACAAGGTGAGTGCGAGTATATGTATGTATGTGTCCTTGCTTGCAGTAATTTGAGTTAAATGCAATTTTCTACGCACTTAAGGTATTCCAACAGTGGTGCGTACCAATATACTCATACGCAGTATGGGCCCTGTCTCGGAGCTGGATATGGACTACTCAATGGACTGTTACTTCCGTCAGTATTGGCATGATAAGCGTTTGAGTTTTCAGGGTCCCATACAAAGTCTATCGCTAAGTATTAAGGTATTGAGAATATTATTATAGAAAAATGAGAAAAATGTTCAAATATTTACCCAAAATTTTAATTTAATTTCTCTTTTACCCAGATGTTAGATAAAATTTGGCGACCGGATACTTATTTTTTCAATGGAAAGCATTCTCACATACATACCATAACTGTACCCAATAAGTTATTGCGATTGGATCAAAATGGTGGAATTTTGTATTCTATGAGGTGGGTATTTGAGGGGCCGTTACTCGAATTTCTACACTTAATTTTTAATTTCAATTTAGTTGCTCCTCTAAACTAGGACAAATAATTAGATAACATCTTTCACTGCCCCATTTTTTCTTCTGCATAATGCAAAATAAAATAAACGCTCCACCAATGATCTCTTCTTCTGAGTTGCGGCAGCTATAGCCGGTTGGTTAGCACTCCGCAACACTATCCGTCATGCCAAGCTCTCTGAGTGTATTTCAGACATGTAGTAGTTAGTTGGCATTCATAGAGGGGGCTGGTATGGTCGTGCGGAAACTCATGATATATATATTTGGCAGGTTATAACCGCTGAAACCATTTTCGGGCGAAGTCCTAATCCAATTTGTGGTTTTGCGATTTATTGTTTTCCCAACAAAAGTCAGTGCATGTTGGAAATACCTTAAGTATATCTGGTTGATGTCGGTCATAGTATCCAAATCTTCATATTCCATTATACCTCAGGACTTGCAAGGCAGATCAAGCTTTTCGTCTGCTAAGCGTATTGGTTGAAATCCGTGACGCTGTTGAAAAGAAGTCATTTAGTGGATACTCGTATATGGGCAGACTGTATGTGAATGGCGTTCGTCCAGTGGTAAGATGATATGGAGTCCATAAAGCCCAACACTGCCATCCTGGTTTCAATGTTATAATGAGCTTTCCTCTAACTGACTTTCTTCTATACTGAAAAGCATTTTCGTTCGCTGGCAAGACTGACACCATCGACTGCATCAGACCCTTCAGCAGTGCACCATTGAAGAACACTTAAGGCCTCGGAACTCTTCCAACGCTGGGTGTAGCAATTATTAAAAAGAGAGGTGCGGAAACGTGTCATCTTCGCAAGCTCCCAAAGTTTATCAGCTGAATGTGAAGCATGCATAAAAGATGATGAGACATTGAAGCACTACCTTTGCGAGTGTCCAAAATTACGGAGATAGGCTCACTATTAATAAAATTGAGCGAGTTGTTCACAAATGCTTAGTTAGGCACAAGTGGAGCACGCTGGAACACAGAAAGTGCTTAAGTGCGGAGTACCTCTCAATCTCGCCTTTTAACCAACCAACTAACTAACCCAACCAGCCAATCACAGCTTCAGCAACTTTGTCATCATAAAAAATTTGTCTTTATTTAATTTATAAAATTTAAATAATTTTTTTTAATTATCTCTACCCCACAGACTCACAATAAAGGCCACATGTCCCATGGAACTAAAAAACTTTCCAATGGATCTGCAATCGTGTCCACTAATAATTGGCAGTTGTAAGTAAATGAACGAAGATCTTCTTAGAATTATACCAATATAAAATTTTAATATACCGTTATTGCTCTCCTACAAAAAAATGAGATGGTTATACTAACCGCCAACTAGTCTACGAGTGGAAGGGTGAAGATGACGCAGTTTCTTTCGTGCCGGGCATGACCTTAAACCAGTTCGATTTGATCAGTATGAAGCAACGAAACTCTACTTACACAAGAAGAGAGGGCGACTTCTCCGTGCTACATGTGGCTTTCAATCTCAAGCGGCATACGGGTTATTTTCTCATACAGGTCAGAAGAAAGAAGTACAGATTTAGTAAATATTGTTAAAAAAAAACACACACACATTTCCAAACCCATAGGTATACGTCCCGTGCATTTTGATTGTGGTTCTCTCTTGGGTCTCCTTTTGGATACATCGCGAGGCTACCAGCGATCGTGTGGGTCTTTGTGTAACGGCCGTGCTCACACTCTCCACAATCAGTCTTGATTCACGCACCGACTTGCCTAAAGTAAAATATGCCACGGCCTTGGACTGGTTTTTACTAATGAGCTTTTTGTATTGCATTGCGACGTTGTTGGAGTTTGCTGGCGTACATTATTTCACAAAGGTGCGAGCTCATTAATTAAATTTATATGAAAAATTCCACGTTGCTTTTCAGGTCGGTAGCGGTGAAATACCCATAAGCGAAGACGAATGGGAAGATATTGATGACGGCGCTGTTGCTGAAGACGAGGAGTGCGAAGAAGATATACAGAGTTGTTCGATAAAACGCAGTAACGAATCTGTTTGCGAGATGCCACACACGTTGGCGGGCAACTTTTGCAAGCGCAATGCGATGATTTGTCCAATATATAATGTGAGTACTTCAATGTTTATACTTCTTCTTCCTTCTTTGGTGTCAAAGTTTCTGAGTCGAAATCTAATAATATTCCAACCCAGCTGAGAGATGTTATGAAGCAAACCAAAAGAGGAAAACCTCTCCAAACTGTACATTCCTAATGAGATAAAGTCCACTTGATATTTCAGTTAATCGGTCAGAGAGACGGAGGCTTAATAACAACCGAGGTCTGTGTTTTCACAAGGAGAGCAAAGATCATTAGTTTAAAAAAATTTCACTGATTTCACAATGAGCCTACTCAAGGGCGTATGTAAAGTCAATTACGATACGGTTTTCACTTCTACTTTAGGAAAGGTGGTTGGTTGTAGTAGACCACTTTTCAGCTACATTCAATATCTCTATGTAATCATATGGTACACAAAAGAAGGATTGTAGCAAGTGCATTAAGCTTACCGAATTTGATCATTCTCTATCAATTTATATTAATTGACATACGATGAATCATCATTCACAACAGGCTGCTTGAAAGTTCTTCATAAACTAGTCCTGCTCCTTGGCTTAAAAAATCCTTACACCTCATGAAAGCGAGCGAGACAGGCATACAAACACGGTTCTTCACTAACTTCCTTAATACAAAATTCCGCTCTTATCTCAGTAATTGCGAGCTGTTTCATTTTGGCGCCCTTGGCGAGTCTGTCACTAGTCATCTGTTAGTGATCTGTTAAATCTTCCTCGCCAATGTCTGATAGGTTCTTTAGGCTTAAGATTACACAAACTTTCAATCTGGTCTTTACGGAAACTAACCAACCAACGCTTTCCACATCTAGACCATAAGCAGGCTCTTAAGACTCACAGCTCTTCTGTCTTCTGCTTCTTCCATTTTTTCATTTGTTGCTTTGTGGAAATAAATGTCACCTGCCCTGGTTCCTTTTTTTTGGTATACCAAGGCCTCAATAAGCGTGCTTTGGATTGAATAATTTTGAAAGAAGCTCTACATACTTAAGTTTAATCGTTTTGACGGCTGTTACCTTTCATGATTAGTGAGGTTATGCTTTATGAATCATATATCCATAGACCGCAAACAACGAACCCACTGTTAATCCCAGTAAGATAGAGATGAAATTAAACCAAAATACCTCAATTTCAACTCTCCCCTAAAACATCTGAGGTTCAAGATTAATACTAAGCTGAGCTGGCAGGGGAACTTCAATAAACAATTAAAGAAGTATACGTGACCTTTTACAGTAGCAGGGGAATATTAAGTAGGCCCTAGACACTAAAACCTTCCAACAAGTGAGAGTACTAGAGATAAAAAATATCTGCGGTGTTTAATTGAATAACAAGGGTGAGATACAGAGAGCAGTCTTTTTCACAAACAGTCAAGCGGGATTGCTAACTCCAGAGCCACCAATGGTAATTTCCAGCAAAGACTGTAAGCTCTCTGGTAGTATTGGATGAGTGCATAAGTTCGTGCCCGATTCCGCTGGATGCCGTTCGAATCGTTTGAGAGTGGCGCTCGTGAAAGAAATATATACATATTATATATCGTTGGAAAGGTGACAGTCCGAACTGTAAATCAAGCATAAAATAACTTCATTTTGATTTGAGTTGCTTAGTGAAAAGACGCGTGGAAGATGGACAACGAAAAAGATCATATGCGTCATATTATGTTATACGAATTTCGCAAAGGAAAAACAGTAGGCGCTGCAACTGAAGATATTCGCGAATATTATGTGGACCGTGCTCCAGCACTCTGCATAGTAAAGAAATGGTTCGCAAAATTTCGTTCTGGAGATTTTAACCTCGAAGATCAACCTCGTAGTGGACAGCCTTCTGAGCTTGATGACGATGTTCTAAGAACTTTAGTTGCGAATAGCTCACGTATTTCGACGGAAGAGGTTGCCAGTGAATTGAACGTCAACAAACCAACTGTGTCGTTTAAAAAAGGTACGCTTTGAAGCTCGATACATGGGTGCCACGCAGTTACTCGCATACATAATTTGGCATCCAAGTCATGAGAACATCTTCGATGACGAAAAAGCTGTTGAGCTGGAGTTAAAACCAAGTTCACCTAGAACGATCTGATGATAGCCAAATGCAGGTTGGATAATTAGGATTATGAAAGAGGTTTGGCCAAAGTATGATAGAAGATAAACTGAGAAACTATTTAATCTGTTTGGAAAGATTATGTATAGACTCACATCGACAATTATGGTACATTGTTCTCTTGAGTAGCATCCATCACAAATGGGCCGCCAACCAGAACGAGATAAGGAAAAACTTACCCATTTTATTTGCGAATATTCAGCTCCCTCACATATACTACGTGAATGACTGCACATAGAATGGTTGGAACAAATTCTGTACCAGTTCTTCAATGGCTGTCTATAGAAAACGTATCAGTTATGAGAAACTCTGTTGATAACACCATGTAGCTCGTGCAAAATGATGAAATGTTAAAGCAGGTCATGATGATCATCCAACTAGTACTCGAAATGGCGCACATAGCGCTAAGTGGGCTCGGTGCAAACATTTTTTCGATCAGCACTCTTATCCACCCACCTACCTACACACCTAACTAGAAGACTTATGGCAACTGCTTCTGCGATGATGTCTTTAAAGACCAGTGCGCAATCTTCTGGCCCTTCTGAGACGTAGCTCTTGTTGCTACCCATGCTGCTAATAAGGCTGGCTACTTTACCGAGTTTTTAACCTTCATCTATCAAAGTCTCATAATATTTTCAAACTCTATCAATATGGCATCTTTGCACAAACACAAGAAGGTTATTTTAACAAAATAATTTATTTCATATTTCAGGATCCAACGCAAATATTTCCAGCTCCCTCCTCGCATGCCTCCACCATGGAGCGAACAACACAAACGGAACCACCAGTTATATCCAAAGCAAGACAAATGTGGCTTTGTCTAATAGGAGATGATAAATTTCGAAGACAAAGGGAACGTGATGCGGCTGTAACGAAAGGTGAGCATTTTTAGAATATTCCAAAATTAATACAAATTCACGGAAAATTCAAAAACTCCTTCTTCTAACTATTTTCAGGTACACGTTATGTGAATAGTGTTTCTCTAATTGATCGGGTTGCGCGCGTTGCTTTTCCCATGTCTTTTGCTTTCTTCAATCTTCTGTATTGGTTGGCTTATGGCATGTCCAAAAAGGAGTTCACTTGGTCAGCGGTAAAGGGCTAAAGGGAGTGGATGGAAAGGAGAGAATGTGGTGGATAAAACAACAAGAGAATAAACAAATAGAAATAAAATGTAAAATGGTTCAAATTAATTTATAAGAAAGCAATAAATAAATAATTAAAAAAAAGAAAAATTTAAAGTGGGATGAAATATATACACATATATATATATATTCATATAGATAAAGTAATAGAATTTTTGCAATGCGAAATTCGAATTTTGACGTAAACTTTTTTGCATATCAAGTCAAAAAGTAAAAAGAAAACCAACAACTTAGTTAACATAATTAGAGCAATAAATACAATAAAAAAAATAATTAGTAAAACATACAAACAACGAGCTTCTTTTATATTTAATTAACAAATATAGTGAATACTGATTTTATAATAATTTACATAACCGTAAGCAAGAACTAAAGCATAGAAAAAGAAAATCGAGCTTAATTTGCTTAAGTAAGTATGTTTGTAGAAGTGTTTGAAAAGCTATTATATAAATATTTTATATTATCATATTAGCAAAATAACTAGTTAATAATTATTAGTTGTTAAATTAATGTTGTTAGTTGATTTTAGAGACAATTTAATAAAGCTGAATTTAAAGTGAAAACAATTTTTCATTTCTCATTCCATTTCACAGCAAGAGGGTGAGGGAAAAGGCGGGTTAAAAAGAACCAAAAAGAATTTTAGTAGAAACTTTTCAGTATTTTTATGCTTAAATAAAGAGTATAGGTTTTGAACTATGTCTTCACATCTGCCGAACTTAACTGTCAAACCAAATATTAATTAAAAGCAGGGGTTTATGAAAATGGATCGCTTAACAACCACGAGTTGAGTTCAGTTGAGTTGATGCGGCTGTTGTTGCCAGCACAATGTGAAACCGCTGAGGCTTCTGCCTTCACCTTCTCAGAAGATCAAACCATTTCGTGTGACTTATTAAGGCAACGAAATTTCCAATATTCGCTTAACAACCACACAACGCGCTAAAATTTCTGAAACCTACAACGGAAGTGATGACTTAAACGTTGCCATGTTTTATACTTTAAGAGGAGATTATGGTGCATATAAAAATCGTCAAGCAACTGAAAAATAGTTAAAGAAATTTGAAGAGACTGGACTTACACTTGGACTTGCACCTATCATACATCCACATAAGATTCAGCTCGTACAACATCTGAACCAATTTACCATTCACAATGCCGTACAGTGGACGGCAATTTTTCGAAAAAAATTTTCTTCAGCGACGAGGCACATTTCGCAGTCAGGGGATACGACAATGAACAAACTTGCCACAGTTGTGGCTCCGAGAATCCTCAAATAATTGAAGAGAACCCTTTACGCCAAAAGAAAAATACCCTTACTGCCTGGAGCCATGTTTGGTCCGGAAGTGTGACTGGAACTTACTTGAAAACGACAACAGCGAGAGTGTCACTTTCAATTTGCAGCATTTATTGCGAGAGAAATTTCCCGACCGCTTAATATCTCGTCCTGGTGATGTCAATTGGCCACCGAGATCGTGCAATTTGACACAGTAGGACTTTTTTTGTGGGGCCATGCGGTAGACCGTGTTTAACCGGTTAAGCCTTTAACGCTTGCAAACCAATATTCGTCAAGTTATGACTGAGAAACCATGGACAATACAGGGTTCGAAAATTAACTCAAACGGATAGAATTTTGCGAAAAATCGGGAGAGGCTCATTCGATCGATGTAAAATTCGCATATAAAGCCAAGTTTCAAACTTTCTAAAAGAAAATGAGTCTCATGAAAAACAAATATTTTAAATGAATTTTATTTACGTTCTTTTTTAAAACTGCAAAAAGGATAACCCTATATACATATAAGGTTAGGGAGAAAAAAACAAATTTTATTTAATTAATTTTCTGACGAAAATGGTCTTAAATGATTTGTTCATAAATCTAACCAACGCGGCTGCGGTAAGGGAGTGGTTCCGAATGGCAGTGAAAAACTCGAGTTCAAAACCTAGTATCATACTAGCATCCAAAAGTTAATTCTGATATGAAATAAAGCTCCTAATAAAAACCATCAGCCCTTCTGAAGCGGCTTAGTATAAACTTCACGTTCCTCCATTTGTTGGAAAAACATCAAAACCATAAAATGGAGGGAGAGCTCGGCCAAAAATCGCTTCAGCGGTTATAAAGCGCCAATTATATATATAATATAAACTTTTAAAGATATTCAAAAGTTAAACAAACTTTATAACTTGCTGAAACATTGGCGAATGGGATATAATTATTTCCGTAGAAAATTGAACGTTCTACAATAAAGATATTCGTACCAACATCCCTTTACGTAATGATATTTATAGTTTATTAATAAATAATATTTTTTTTCACATTATAGTTTGTTAGGTTGGCAGGGTAGACGTAAACTTTTAAGAGGCCCACGGGCTGAAAATCGCTCGCAAATCTATGTCTTCTCAAATCCCCCCCTGCAATCTTAACAAAGCTTAGCCGTGAAATTGTCAAGAAACGCTATGCAGGCCATTTTATCTTCTTTGACCTTCTGGAAACTATTAGTACTCTTATTTGAGTTCTTGTATTATTTCTTTTAAGCTTCAATAATCGACATACAAATATGAGACGCACAACCAATTCTGATCACTTTTTTGTGCTTACTGTGTAGCTTCTTCAACTGCCTCATAGTTACCCCGGATATTTTTCTGTCGTGAAAAACATTGCAGATTTATCGTCTAGTACGATGTAAGCTTTGCCACTAAATCAAGACACTCTTTCACTCTCTTTAATGTTATCTTAAATGACTATCAGAGTCGCTTAACTCTCTGTGCATACATACAAACATAAAAAGTATATATTTTTTCTCTCCTTGTTAGAAGACACAAGTTCGATATAATGCAGCAATCTCAGCTTGAGTAGAACTGCTTAGATCTGGTAGACGAAAATCGATTCGGGTATCTTTTATTTCCGTAAAGAATGCCGTTCAAGAAGATAACAAATCCCTGTATTTTTGTCTACTTCCCCTTTATCCCATTTTTCTATGGTCCAGTGTTAATCCTGACTAAGATCTAAGACTAATGTAATGTATTAATGCAAATGTATTAATGCATTTATTAAAGCCCAGGAGGGTTTCACATTCCGTCATTTATTTATACTGTATTTATCACATGATGGAACTGGCCATTTCGGACCGCTATATTATAAACCCCCCCCCCCCCCCCCCCTGAGGTGGGTTTAATTGAAGTGGCTGCTAGGCTTCAGCTTACCTAGGCCACCCAACGGGCCAATTGTTATATCCCATAAACCGATTTTCGCTTTTTGCGTATCAACCCAACAGGGTCTGTCCCGTAAAAAGACCTCTCATAGTGATGTTGGTTGATACTCATCTATCGTAAGTTAGCATCCAAGGAGCTTACAGGTAGAAAACGTCATGTCCGAGCCCTTCAATGATGGCGAAAGTGGGTCCTATACGTGTTAAACAATTTATAGTTTTTCATGTAGTCAGTAAGACCGTCCTTTCTGATAGAATTAAACCACTATGTAGCCGCCAAACAGCGATTCGTTCATATGAGGTTCTAGTGGTTAGTGGTTTTTTCACAAGTAAATTCAAAAAAAAAAATTTTTGCACTGAAATTCTTCCAAATTTGAAGACTGCATAATAAACGAATACTGCAGCTTAATAGCGTTCGAGAAAAAATGTCTGTGCAAGATTTATGGACTCTGGCGTACCTGCGACTAAGGACTCAGCATATATGATGGCTAGTTCATGTTCAGCTTTGACTGTATTCGATGCGGTATACGCTGCGGGAAGCAGCGGAAAAGCAAGACCTACATCGTTAAAAGGATCAGGAGGAAAAGAAAGAATTGACGCCTTATAGTTGACTCGACTATAACCACTAAACAGTGCCTACGTTAATAGGTTATCCGGCACTGAGACTATCTTTTACTTCTGCATAGAATACTCTTGCTCATCCACCTCCGTCAAAAGTCTGCTCTCTTATACGAACACCCAGCTGTAATCGAAACATAAATTATTTGGAATAAAATCATAAACTATACTTATGCACGATCTTCGCTTGAGACTAATACGTTATTACATTACAGCAGTTTATTTAATTTATCCTTCATAAAATGCCGCGATAGCCAAGGGAGTTAGCATTGCGAGTTAGCATTGCCATACGGAAGTCTCAGGCTCAAATCCAAAAGTTATGGAAAATCAATTTAAATGAAGAAATTAAGTTAAATTTTCTGATTGCGGTCGCCCCTGGCAGGGAAGGTCCACCTCTCCGAGTGTATTTCTTGAAATAAAGGCTCCTCGTAAGAAAACCATCAGCCGTTCGGAGGCGGCTTGATATAAACTGTAGGTCCCTCCATTTGTTGTAAAAACATCAAGACTCAGAACCACAAGTTGGAGAAGGAGCTTGACAGAAAATCGCTTCCAAAGCCCCGTTTTATATATATATAATGTTATTCTCGAAACAACCCATTTGCTGTAGTTTCAGCAATTGAAAAAAACATATTAAGAGGCGTGTCAAGCAACTGAGCACAAGGTGAAGAAGAAGATACCTAATTTTTGCTATATCAAATTTAATTTCATAATAACGGCATATATCAACCTTTAATTATTTACTTTAACCAAATAGTCTTCACACTTGGTATGCTCCCTTTAAGCAAATAAGATTAGCGCTTTGGGTTGACGGCTCAAGCAGAAAAAGGGTATATTTATACATAATTAAGGGCATTTGGTATGCATAAAAGGATTAATATTTATACTGTGTAAAAAAATCTCTATTTCTGTTTGTAGAATAGAATTTCGAATTAGAAAATTACACATATAGTACATATATATTCATAACATTAGCATCCAAGGAATGTATATGTAAGACAATGCACCCTTCGTTAATATTTGCAAATATTACAGCAGGTTAAAAAAAATTGTATTTTACTATTTGTCATATTTACAAGTCAAGGGTTGCTAATTTGATTTCAGTGTCGCAAATTGCACTCATTCCCCTCTTTAAATATTTATTACTACTGCAGCTAATTCGTGTGCTTTATTTGCGCTCATCACTTTTGCGTTATTACTGATTGGTTAGTAAATATTTGCTTTCTTGTAAATAAATACGACAAGCTCACACTTACAAAACATAATCGCAAAGATAAATAAAAATATTTACGTGTAACCGTTACACATGTAAGCATATTCCATGTAGCGAAAAATACTACTAGTTATGAACTAGAACCCAACTAGTTTTTATATTGTAAAACCTTGTTCATCGCGGCTTTAATTTTTATGTAAACAACAGGTGTTTTTCCCAAGATCTGTTAATTTACCAAAAACATATCGACTTTATACTAGTTAAATACCAGTTCCCTTCAGCATGTTTAATTAATGCATCACCAAAATGAAAAAAAATAATATAAATAAAAATGAATTTGCTTACAGCGAGGTTCGAGCCGTGAAGCCCACGCGGTAGACCAATCCAAAGAATACAGTGGGCAGGATAAGACCACTTAAGTAGGCTTTCCTCCTTGCAGCCCCTTTTGGCCGAGCGTTGTCATGCTGCAAAGTAATCTCATGGCGCCTCTCGATCGTTTCTGACATTGGTCGATAATTTTTCGGAAATGATTTCGCCTGGTTTCAGCAACTCGTAGAACACCACACACGTTTTGCCCTATCATATGCAAAACATGTCTTTTGAGCCGTGAATGGCATTCATTGGCATGGATGTAGGTGATAATGAACGAGTTCACTAGGCTTGTCATTAAATTTTTTCCTCTTGCGCTTGTGTCACCCACCAACGAGTCACGATCCGTTGTAAAAACCACTTCCTTTGATACCTTTCAAGAAGCAGATCAAAGGTATATAATCGCCTTTCGTTATCCCTCGGCTTCAACTCATACGGCTGCAAGTTTCCTTGCTTTTGAATAAATCCGAATTAATTTAACCGAATGGAAAGTATTTGCTAAGTCCCCTCCATAGATTCTATAAGTTCAGTTTGCCTTTGGCCCAGGTACTGTACCAGTAAAGGCTGCAGTCCGTGATCTGCATGTTTTTTGGGTTGTCCGTTTGGACGTTCTTTTTTTTCAAGACGAAAATCACCAAATTTCAAGCGCCGCAACCACTCACTGTATGACTTATTGGTCGTCACAGAGTTGCCATAAACTTCGATAGGCTTCACCAGCACATTTCGCATGCGAATGCAAACAAATTATTGTTGACAGATGTGAAACCATTCCAAGTTTCTTTTGCTCTGTTTCTTCCCTTTACTGCTTATAATGGTAAATTAGAGCTCTTCTACATACTTAAAAAATAGATTACTGCTTTTTTACAACTTTTTGAAGCTCCCAAGATTTAGTTGACTTAAAATTAAATTTAAAAAAAAAATAATATGAAATACCATTCTTTGTTTTTCTAGGGAGCATCTCTTTAAAGAAACAGACGGTATAATGTATTCGTTGGTTCATATGGAATAAATTACATAATTCTAAATTTTTCTATTGATTGAGTATTTTGGAATGTAAGAGATACTTTAAATCTCCCTTAAACGGCTTTTGACTTCCTCTTACATACCAAACAGGACACATTAAAACGCGTTATCAACTGTTAAGTAGAATTAAGCGCATTCTTGTGCAAAACCTGGGCGATAATGCAATGAATTATTGCATGCAGGAATATGGTATCTAAAGGCAAGAAATAATAAAAATGTACTTTTAATGAGAATAATAATTTTTATTTTTTTACGCCATTTTATGTTCTGTTATGTTATTCGTTGATGTACGAGTACGTGTAGACATAACACTAGCTCTTTTTTTCGTCTTGTCGAAAAGCAATAGTTTCATTTATAGCTGGACATAGGTATTTTAAAATCACTTATATCGAGTTACTGATGAGTGCTCTCATTTTTCCGACTGTTGCACCAAAGATACATTCATCATCCCCCGAGCAAAACTTTGATATCGTAGCTGGGGAAGCGGTCGTTCAACGTACATATCTTTGGCACATATACACCTTTGAACACATCGCCATTCACTTTAAATCAGCTACATATTTCTAAAAAAAAATAAAATAAAATAAAATAAAATAAAATAAAATAAAATAAAATAAAATAAAATAAATTAAAATAAAATAAATTAATAATAATACTAATTTTAGTAAGACATAAGCTTCAGTGATTTTTTAATACTAGTATGTTGAAGGGGGTTCAGAGAAGTCCCTTTTAGGTGAAACCCAAAGTTCTAGATGGGTTGGTTATTGCATCTCGTGCAAGGGTTGTGCACGTTTCTTGAGTGAGTATAATCTTTCAGCTGTAACTGTATATCTAGTCCTATCCCATTGCACTCCATACCTTAGCCATACTTACTTATATGACAAAATATATTAACAGGTTAGTGAATATTTAACGGACGCTAACTGCACATTATATTAGCATATCTAAATAAAAGTCATTCAAAAACTCTGAAGTCTGAAATAAATAAAACATCAGTATGCTTAAGCAAGTCAATGAGAACTGTGCTCCCACGTTGTTTAACCGACCACTAAGCTTTAATATCCACCCGCTTTGAGTCATTTATAACATTCGTTAGACACTTTATCTGATGTCTAACCCAGCTCTGTCCAAGACAAGGCAACCACATAGAAGGTTGGAGACCGCTTCTTGCTCTTCATCGTAGTGTCACCTTCTACATCATCTCTTGAAAAGAACTCACAGCCTCGCCATATATCATATATCATTTATCAAGCAAAGTCCTTTTATGACTGCTTAAAGCCTAGAGAAGTCCTTGCTTTTAAGACAGTATATTTCGAATGACCTTTACCGTTCCTATTTCAGCCAAATTTTCTTAGAACTTCTATCCATAAGTAAAGTCTCTGAGGGATCGGCTCTGCCTGAAAGCTCGGCTGCTTTACAGTTTCTATCTATGGAACTGTAGCCAGGTACACTAAAATGCCAGAAAACCTGTTCGGTTTGGTCATCTTCTGTAGAGATCAGCAACAGTAAAACACAAGTTTGAGATCGTTGCAAGTAAATTAAACGACCCCATTCCTGTCTGATTATCGCTAAAAATTAAAATATCCTTGCTCTTTTCTAGGGCCTTAAGAAGGAAGACCGAAAGACTTATGGGCCTGAGGCCCACTGAGGTACTTTGTGTGGCATTACCAGCTTTGGAAATGAATACCACTGTCTTCATAAATGTCCATAAACAAAGCACTCAATCCATTCAATTTTTTTTATTTATTTAAGTTAGAAACGTACATAAAAAGTTCATATCTCTGAAAAGGAATTGGCATCTAGATGTCGCATCCACAGCTGTCATTCCAAGCACACTCGCAACTGCGCAGCATCCAACAAATGAACCTGAGTTGCTCTCCCGAAGAGTACAACATCCTTTCTTGAACTCACGAGCAGAGCATCTCCATCGCCATCTTTATTCAACACGCTGTGTTGTTTCTGCTTATCAGCTGTCAGCTGTCAAAATAATGCACTTCACAGCTACTCGCTCTCTCTCTCTCTCTCGCTCTTTCTCCCTCTCTCTCAACAAATGCAATAATCTGATTTACAAGGAGTAGGATTCGAGGCAAACAGCCCAAAGCCTTATGCCAAACACTCTTCTCGAGTTCATCGGCATTCGTTAGGTGGCTGTGTACGAGAGCTCGTGTATTTGAACGGATTAACGCGTTGACTGTAAATTGAAACGCATACATAGCGACACATATATACACGCACCAAGGTGCATGCTAGTGCAGAGAGTAGTGGCGGCGGAAGAAGAGAACGCAGACGACGAAAGTGAAGACGGGCTGTGAAAGTGAATTGGGCTTTTGGGTATTAGCAACAACAACCAAAAAGGGGGATACGCCGAAAGCGAATGTGAAAAAGTGAAATTAATTTTCGTCTACAACAGTGAAGTTGAAATTTATAATCGAATTGCCGTGGTGGTGGTGGTGGTGGTGGCAAGCAGTGAATGGAGGGAGGGCTGCTGCAGTGCAGTCGTTAGTAGTTAATGGTGTCGGTGTCGGATGGTCGGTCATTAGAGAGTGTCAAAATACAAATAAGGAAAAAACAACAACAACAACAACAACAACAACAGCAAGAAAAGCGGAAAATATGTCAAAATGGCAAGCAAAGAAGTGTAAGGAGCTGTTAATGAGGTGATTGAATGTTGAAAAAGAAAAATTAAAATTATTTGAAAAATATATAAAAAATATAAAAAAAAATTGAAAAACAAAATTTACATAATTACGCAAACTGAAAAATGCTGCTTAGAAAATAATTTGTACTCGTGTGCAAAAAAATTATTAATTTAATGTAACTGAAAATTGCGTTTGCATTGAAAATATGTCACTTGAGTAAAAATAGTTCAATGAAAATCAGCAAAAATTGAAAAACCAAAAAGAGAGAAAGAACAAGAAGAAATGTCCTTAATTCCACGCGCGCGGGGGGTGGCAGAAAATAATTTACTGAGCATTCGTAAAGATATATACATGTGTGACTGTGTGTATGCCTGCATGTGTGAGTTTGTGTGTGTGTGTGTGTGTGTGTGTGCAAGGATGCCACACATTAACTATTCATTATGCACAGTTATACTTTATATGCATGTCACATATGCATATGAAAGCATTTATAAACATATGTATACACATGCATACATACATACATACATATATGCATACCATCATACATATATGTTTGCGTATACATGTGACTTGAATAATATTGAACATCGTTTCGTCCTTCAAGTACAATTCGAGGAGCAAGCAAAAGTGCATAATGTGCGACCGCAAAAGCAAAAAAAAAAAGACAATAAAAAATACTTACATACACACGTTTGTACATATGTATGTACATGTGTGTGCATATATGCAGCATCCAAAAGAAAAAATGTCAATCCCGAAATAGGTCAAATCTACAAATATCCACATCAAGCGCCACGACGCCGCATTACTAGCAACGTCGACGCGTGCAGCGCAGTCACCGCCGAACTTATTGCCATCGGCAGTGCTGTTACTGTCGACTGCTTTGCCTTCCCCACTCACAGACTTTTTTTGCTGCACTGCACTTTGAGTGTCCTCTTGTTGCTTGTCATTTGTCAAAATGGATTTCGCTGCCGTGGTTGCGACATACCGTTATGCTTTGCGCTTACTTACAGTTACAGTTTCGTGGCAAGCTGCTTTTATATCAGCTGTTTATGTATATATATATATATATATATTTATATTTGTATAGATATGTATGTTGTAAGTGTATATTTTCAGCTGTAGCTTGCCTGCATATGGGAGGCGCTTATTCATTTGTAGCATACTTTCAGGCGTAATCACTTTAAAGTGTAAGTAAATTTCATAACGACTATCAGCGACACGCGCAGCACAGGCTACATGCACGTATGTATGTAAATGTGCTAAAGACAGCATGCCAAGTGGCGCATGCAAATGAGCGTAAGGCTGAAAGTAATTATGAAAAAAGGAAATGTAAATAATTGACGCACACGGCGCTGAATTGTTGTTGCACTGACATTTTTTGTGAATTAAATGATGGCGTCAAAAAATGCGTAAAAATGTAGAATAAATAATTTTAACGCAAACGTGAAGGGTAGAAATTATTCATTAAAATAGCTTAATTGTTTTCCAGCTATTCTTAGAGAATAAATGACATTTAGCAGTTTATGGATAATAACACATATCGCAATCCTTGCGAAGTATTCTTTAGATAAGGAAGCACAAAAAAAATTTTGTTAACCTATAATGATTTTCCTAATGCCCAGATATGCCCCTCGGTGATTAGTTTACTCTATGATGTTTCTATGTAAAATTTCATTTTACTTAGGCACCCCTAATGCAATTATAGCCGAATAAACAATAGTGCACTATTCTTTTCTTCATTTCATAATTTAATATGAATAAAAGTAAAGTGAGTTTTTTCACTAAATTGTGTTTCTCTCAATCTTCATATATCGAAATCCCATTATATCACAATTTCAATATCAAAGTCCCTAAACACCCAATTTTCAATGTTCTTAAATCCAAAAATATAAAAATCTCCCAAACATAAAAAAATTTCAAATACCATTATTTCGAAAACTCCATATATTCTTCTCTCTAAATCTCAAAATTTCCAAATCTTCATATTTTGAAAACTCTATAAATCTCCGAATCTCAAAAATTCAAAAAACTCTTGTAATCTATAAATTAGAAAACTTTTAAATATCAAATTCTTCGAATTTGAAAAATCTCCACACATGACAATCTCAATATGCTAAAATCTACAAATCACATTAAACCTACAAATCCTTTTATCTCTCAATCTCTCATTCTCGAAGAATCTGAGAGCTTCTTAATCTCAAAAACAACGATTTTTTAATTTTCAAACACGAAAAATCTAAAAAACTATATATATATATCTGTATATATCCATATAAATATCAGTATCTCTCAGTCTCTGAACCTCAAAACATCTACAAACCTCTAAATCTCCAAATATTAGAATTTTCAAACCTGAGATATCAGAATTTTATAAATCTCCATTTCCTGAAAACCCTAAATCACCCAATCTCAAAAACTCACTAGCTTTTGAACCTCAAAAATCGCCAAATATCAAAAAACAACAATAAAAATTACAATCTCGAGACATCAAAATCTCGAAAATTCGATAAATTTTCAAATATCTATAACTGAAAAACTCCACATCGCTCAATCTCAAAAACTCTCCAAACCTCTAATCCGAATAAGGCAAAATCTTCAAATTTCCAAAAAATATCTAACCTCAAAAATTCCACACCTCAAAATGCCTCCGAATCACAAGATTTTCAAGATATCACCGTTAGCGATAAGATCAAAAGTACAGCGAATCGCCTCCAAAAAATTATCAGATCCCTTTACGAAAACCCGTTTTCGTTGGAAATCTCAAACTTTTCAACAACAAAAATAAAATATTTTTCTTAGAACCTTGTGAAATGACTGATCTAAGCCATTTTACGATACTGACTAGCTTTTGAAAAGACAAAGGCCATACATACTTAAGGCAAAGAGAATATATGATTTTCAATCGGCAATGGCCAAGGGGCCAGAACGACTACTTAGGTTCGCGAAAAGAAATAGCAATGTTCTTCACACTAAAGACCCAATAGAAGTATAGCAGGACAGTTCAGTATGGATGTGTGATCGGCTATGTGAGACCAACTGGGTCTGTCAGCATAGCCTAACCGAACCTTCAATATATATGTCGATAGAAACAGGGAAGCAGTCACGGCTAAACGGCTGCATATATGCTATGGGTTCAAGGCCACAAGGAAGTTATGGGAAATAAATTAGCTGATGAACGATCTGTAATGCAATTTCCGAAAGAGCTGGGCGCCGCATCAGCGTAAGATGAATTGCATTAGTGGCAAGCTGCATAGCAGCGAAGTAAACACGCTTTTCTTGCTAACATGGCCTTAAATGAACTAAGCACAGTTGTAGGCTACAATATACCGAAATCTAATGAGTGAGGCGTTAGATTAGAATGATTTCTGACCTTAGATATAACCAGTTTCATATCGCATAACAGCACCTTTCAATGCAAGGGACCAACCAATCTCCACAAGGCGCAACAGCCGCCCAGTTAATCTAACTAAGAATTGCAATTTACTGATATTGAAGACTTCAAGGGCAAATTAACAAAAAATTCTTTAAAAAAATATGTCCATTAGTAGGTGGCTTCTGGCATGCAAAGCATTTTCATATCCTTTTATTTTATTTGATTTATTTTTTTTCATGAAAATTTCCTTTCAAAAATTTACTTGCTCAAACTCAGCCACAATTTATTCCACAGTCCAGCGAAGATAAAGCAAAATCTTCAAATAATAAAAAAAGTAGCAAACTCTTATGCTGGCGTTATGCCATCTGAACGACGACAGAGATAAGCAGACGCAATGATAAAATAAAAGCAAACAAATTTTTGGCCAAATGCCCAAAAATTCAAAATTCAAAACTAAAAACTACACCTTTTTTTGCATTTGAATTCACCACTTCAATAATTTCGCTACATTTGTTGCACAACAAGGCTTACATACATATCAATGTATACACATACATATACATGATACATTCGTACATATATGCACAACTCAATGGAGAGGAATAAAGTAAGCTTAGCAAACAACCAACGGCAATAACTATCGAACTCACATGACACACACGCACACACGCACAAACACGCACGCAAACACACCGACTACTGATAACATATGCACACACCGGAAGTGTCTTTTGCTTGCGCTCAACAAGCGAGAAGCGTAAGACAAACGCCCGACGACAAGCTTCAACCAGCAGCCTGTACAACCACTTGTCATTGCGTAAGCGTACATTTCTGCACTTGACAGCTGACAACAACGAAAAATTCCGCACTCACATGCACACACGTGCGCTGGCGTACTTGAAAAAGTTGAAGACACGAAGGCAGAATGTGAGAATTTCACAAAAAACATTATAGCAAAAGTCGCTACGAATGTGGTTGTTGGTGTGGAGGAGAGTGGCTCGGCGGCGGCAGAGAGTCACCTGCAGCTGAATGTGAAACGAACTGTCGCAAAGGGATGGGGTGGGCGGTGTTGCTTGCTGGTATTTAACGCAATTATGCACTTTACTGAAGGTTCTTCCTAATTGAAATTGCGAAAAAGCCATCAGAAACTACAAAACTACAAAAACACAACAACAACAAATTATTTTTCTGTAGCACAAGCGCTGCTTTCTTTTCTTTTTTTCATACTTATACATTTTTATATATTTTTTTAATATTTTTTTATTCTTAAATTTTTTATATTTTTTCTTTCTTTTCACTCTTTTTATGGCCTACTTATTATTCTTACATTTTCTTAGAAATGCGCTTTAGTGTCTATGATGTTTGTGTTGAGTGTGCGAATGAGCGCATTAAGTGAACAAGTTGAATAAACTTTTGTTCAACAACGGAAAGCTATGTAAATATAACGGTGTAAAGTCTATGCACACCTTCAAATGCACAAAAACCAAATGCAATTTCCATGCAAAAAGTGATGGCAGACGCGTGAGCGCTAGAATGAGTTCGCAGTAATTTTCTACTTTGCTGTTTTCATATTTCATTTTGTGTGCGTGTGTGTGTGTGTGTCGGTGCGCATGTCGTATGAGTGAGTATTGGCATTGCTTTTAACATTGGACAACAGGGCGTATGATGAAAGTAGACAAATTCAATGGCAAAATAGCACTAATAATTTCCATGATTTTTCTGTTTTTATTTTTTTAAATTACATAATGAGAAGTTGGTATATACATATGTAGATTTCTATGTGCCAATTGGCATACAATTGCTGTTGATAAATTCATGGTATGCAAGTTTCCAAATAAATCAAAAAGCAAAGAGATATTGCATGAGTGCATAAGTTCGTGCCCGATTTCAAGTGCAAACTAAAATTGAAATTTTTGAAGAAAGCGCTTTTATTAATCAATTATGTAGTTAACATCATGTTCGGCAATCCACTCCCAACGTTCAACCTGATGCCTGATTCAAAGAAATCGCGCGGTTTCTCGTTGAAATTGTTCTGCAGCGATCGAAACAAATGATAATTAGAAGGCACAATGTCGGGTGAAAAAGGGGGATGCGGCATGATTTCCCAATTCATCTCCTTCAGTTTGGGCAGGGTCGGTTTTGCAACATGTGGCCTGGCGTTGTTATGATGGAAAAGAACTCCTTTGCGATTGGCCAAAATCGGACGTTTTTCATCAATTGCTTTCTTCAATTCGACCAATTGCTGACAATACTTGTTGGCAGTGATCGTTTCTCCAGCTGGCAAGAGCTCAAAATAGATCACGCCTCGGATATCCCACCAAATGCACAGCAGTACCTTCATCGGATGCAATCCACCTTTCGACATCGGTTCCGCCCCTTCGTGTGCCTGTTTCCATGTTCTTTTGCGTTGAACATTGTTGTACAGGATCCATTTTTCATCACCAGTCACGAGCCGATCCAAAAAAGGTTCGTTTTTGATCCGTCGAAGCAAAGAAATTGCTGTTGACATACGGTCCACTTTGTTTTTTTCACTCAACTGATGTGGCACCCATGTATCGAGCTTCAAAGTGTACCCAACCTTTTTTAAACGACGAAACGCAGTTGATTTGTTGACGTTCAATTCACTGGCAACCTCTTCCGTCGAAATACGTGAGTTATTCGCAACTAAAGTCCTTAGAACATCGTCATCAAGCTCAGAAGGCCGTCCACTGCGAGGTTGATCTTCGAGGTTAAAATCTCCAGAACGAAATTTCGCGAACCATTTCTTTACTGTGCGGAGTGCTGGAGCACGGTCCAAATAAACTTCGCGAATATCTTTAGTTGCAGCGCCTACTATTTTTCCTTTGCGGAATTCGTTTAATATAATATAACGCATATGATCTTTTTCGTTGACCATCTTCCATGCGTATTTTCACTAAGCAACTCAAATCAAAATGAAGTTATTTTATGCTTGATTTACAGTTCGGACTGTCACCTTTCCAACGATATATAATATGTATATATTTCATTCACGAGCGCCACTCTTAAACGATTCGAACGGCATCCAGCGAAATCGGGCACGAACTTATGCACTCATCCAATACTTTGAATAGTTAGCTCTAGTAAAAAGTAATCCAGCTGGATGTAGCGTTCTATAAGTGCAATTTGACTACGCCAGATTGTTTTAAATATATCACCTCTTGCACCACAAAACGCAATAGGAGCAGTGCCGGTAACTTAAGGGGTTAATTTTTAGTTAGGAGCCCTAAAAAATTAGGTTTTTCAAAGATATTTCACGAAAGAACTTTTAACTTCGTTATTTTGAGCATTTGTTTACAAATTATGGCACCTTTTAAGAGTAGTTAGCAATATTTATTTATAAAAATAACAATTTTTAAAGCTGCTACAGCAGATCACGATCTGCTCCCTTCCCATGACAGACATTTTTCTGTGACCATTGTATTTCTGAAGTGAAGCATCTGAAATGAAAAAATCAAATGGATATTTTTAGAGTAATGTATAATCTTGTGCTTAATGGAAAGATTAAGTCAAACAACTTTTAGTTACAAAACGGCTGCTTCCTAAAAAAGTAATTCGATTTTTCTTCATTATTTTGGCCTCGAATTGCTCATTAAAAAACTTTTCATCGGTAAACGGCAATCCATAAACGGTAGAAATCTTGGCCACCGACTTGAAAAACACAGTATTGAGGAGCCACACTGGGTTACCGCTTTCAAATGCTCGTAAATTCCAAAATAACAGTCGCATCAACTGGAATTGAGAGTATTTACTTAAATACATAAATGTGGATTACGAAAATATGATTTAAAAAAAATCGATTTTTTGAAAATTCTAACAAGATTTAACCCCATAACTCAGTAGTGTTTGAATAAATATCAAAGATGGACACCAGCAACGAGAAAATATTCTCTATTCTAAAGTTTTCCTTTGATGAAGGCGAAAATACAAGTCAGGCAAATGAAGATTTGAATGTGAAGGATTCTCATACTTGAATAGTCAATTATGTACAATAAAACTTGGCTTTCGTCTATTTCGTACCACGAGTTTTGATGTAGAGGATGTTCGATGTGTTCAAGGTCAATAGTGGAAAATGTCGATCATGTAATGGTATCCTGCGAATCTCACCATCACATGGACACTTTTCGATTGCTCAGGAGGTAAATATTGCACAGAAAATAATTTGGAACCACTAGGAAAAGGTTGAAATGTTGAATGCACATAAGATCTATGTATGGCGGCTACATGAGCTAAGGAGAAGAAACCTCATGGGGAGTCTTTTAAATGCGAATCACTACTGAGTCGTAACAAATTCGATACAATTCCGAAGCGGAAGGCAACTGGTGATGAAAAGTAGATCACTTACATCAACGCCAAATAAAAATTGTGATGCTCGAAGAAAAGTGAGCCACCATGTATGGTCCCCAAGCCAGGAATGTATTGATTTGTTTTGTGTTTGGTAAAAATGACAAGAAATCATCTACTATGAGTTGCTTTACTGAGGCCAAACTCTTCATTCGGACCTGTACTTTTAGCGATTGCACCATATTCAAATAGAAATAACCGATAAGCGCTCAGCTTTAGGCAAACAGATGGAGGATTATGTTTCATCAGAAACACGCCAGACCACACAAATCGATAGTGACTCTCCAAAAGCTTTGTTAAGTTGATTGGGAGTTTCTTAGGCATTCAACTTATAGTTTGGACCTCGCACTAATTGATTACCATGTGTTCGTGACAATGGCGAATGATTTGGTTGGAGAAGAATTAACCTCAAGAGAAGCCAAAAAGAGCCATAATGACAAGACCTTCAAAACGACAAAAAGTTATAGGTGAAAATGGTGCATACTGGGCATAAATCGTATATATATGTGATAAATAAAGCTTTTTTTATGGATTACAAGACCTTTGACAATACGTAGCCACTATTGGAAAAAAATTCCTTGAAGTGCTGCAGCTGGTGTTCCTTTGAGCACTTCGGTTGTGCTGAACTTTAAAAATCAAATGCCATATTGTCCACAGCCTTCCACCAAACCTAAGCACTGTAGACAACTATTGTGCTCATGCATACTAGATGGGATAAAAAATGACCTCCTTGACCGCCAGAATGCGCTGCTCCTGCAAAAAAGGTTAGAGTACCTTGTAGTCCATTAATATTTCAGCAAACGTGCCGATTTTCCGCGCAATACTGCCTTTAGTTTTGTTTTGACAGCTGATTGTTGCTGACGTGTATAATATGCACAATATGGAGTATGGACAAAAAGAGTGACTTAGGGCTCCAATTGCTTCTGAATCCACCGTATTTGCCAGATTTTGCTCCCTCGGACTATTCCCAAACCTCAAAAGATGACTCATCAACAAAAAATTCAGCTCAAGCGAGGAAATCGGCGCCGCGAAGTAATATCCAGCAGACCATCCGAAAAACTACTTTTTGGAAGGGATCAAGAAGTTGGAAAATCTCTGGAAAAAGTGTATCGAGCTAAATAAGGATTACATACTAGTATATATAACCAACTTGAACTTGCTTAAATACTTCCTTAATAATATTGTAAAATTAAATCTTTTTTAACAGTGCTAGCCCTACCTACTGAATTTAGCCAGTCATTTTCTGTTCCAAATATTTGATTCCTTAGAGATCCCAGGGTTGCCAAATACTTACCGCTCACTATGAAGAAAATGTCGTACACTGTAAGCAAGGCTGCTTTCCCTACTATCTTTATCAATAATTTTTAACATTTGGGTGGCTTAGGCCATCCGAGCTGCTCGCTGAACTTCTTGAAGTCAATGTACATTTCAAAAGTGCCAGTTAAACTGATGTTAACATCATCCACGCTGCACCACTACATATGTGTAGTAGCGGAATGGGAGTATTAAGGACTCGCCTAACTTTGTTTGTATTTTCGGAGAAAAGTCTACATCCTTATTCCTAGCAAAGGCGTGTACACCTATAAATATATGACGGGCAATAGACATGAATGCTTGTATGATGTCAGGGCACATATTGATTCCTAGTTGAATTTGTAGATCAATACGCTTCGCTTCCTGGTGAGGCTAGAAAAATCAGAACAAATGCTTTCATCACACGATATCATGAGATAAGGTCCCAATATTTCCTCAACGAGTGGAGTATCTATTGGCAATCTCAGTTTCGCTCTATTTGTATTCACTTCGTGTTACAATTTTCTAATAATTTTTTACGTTACGTATACGCAGTGCCATACCGACATTTGTCTCAAACAATTGACTATGGATAATGCAATAATATTAATAAGAAATTCTCTCTTTTCATACACAGAATTATGCACTAAGCAATATAAATGCATAAAAACCATAAAAGAATTTCTACGAATACAAAATGCAACAGCAACGAAAACAACAGCACAACTTCAACGCGTTCCATGCATGACATACATATATACTATAATACATATACATACATACATATATCAACTACAACCAAATTGTTCATCACGGTCGACAGCGAGATATAAACAACAACACGTATGACGACCACCAACTCAGCACTCACGCACAACGAAGCACAGCAACAACAAAATCACAAGAATGTGTTGTAAAACAAATGGAAGTAAGACTAGTTGGAGTAGCAGAAGTAGAAGTAAAAGAAAAGTGAATGTTGATGATGCGAATGGTAGCAACAGAAACGGTAACAGCAGCGGTAACAACAACACCAACAGCTGTGTGATAAGCACACGTCGGAGAGATAACTGTGCGCTGCTACTACTTTTGGTCATACTCACACTAACGCATATACCCAGCGCAAGGTAATTTTAATTGTAACCAAATGGAATCACTTGAGATTTTAAATTATTTTTAGAAAATTTAAAAAGAAAAAAAAATATTAATATTACTTGACGGTATGAATTATGAAATAACCAGCGGCATACTGGTATGTTGGGCTACACCAAAGCAGTTATTGAAAAAAAGTAGGGAAATTCTAGAAATCTGTCAAAGGAACAGTAACATAATTTGTTTAATTTCTCAAGCTTCGATTATTATTTTTAAGAATACTTGGCTGGAACTTGTTTTATAACAAATGCAAGGCTCTACCGATTATTTGAACATTTCTGCGGAAGTCTCCATTACAGTCCTGGAACGAGTTTTTTTGCTCCATTTTGTCATCAATCGCTCCAAAGAAATAGTGAGTTTTCGATATCTGCATTTTGATAGCCTCACTTTCCAATTGCCTGCCGATCTACCAATGATAGCAGCTTATAGTACGCCACACACGTCTGGTCTCACTATAAGCGAAACATGACCTCTGAATCGTATATTTTTTTCTTTTAGCATCGAGCTCACCAGGCTTGGTATACATGTTTTTCTCCTGGGAGTTATCGTAGTATACTTTATACACTTTTTATCTTCAGCCACGATTTCGTCCAAAAAAATTTTAACATGTTGTATTTCAAGAAGCAGTTTCGAGGTGAAAAATCACCTCTTCTTACTTCTGAACAAATCCAAATTGTTTCAGCCGAACTTAAGTTGCTGGCTAAGTTACTCTCAAAGAGTCTATGAAATCCGTTTGCATTTGGCACGGATCTTGACCTAGTAAAGCTTTAAATTCCTCACATACCAACCTTTCTGGTTGCGCCGGTTGCTCTTTATATTCGACACTATAGTCACCACTTTTGAAGCATCGAAACCACTAGAGTCACCATTAACTCGATAGGCCTCAACACCACTTTTCTTTTAACTCATTTACAAAATCAGAACTTGCTGTTTATTTAGCACAAATCCAGAAATTTACGAAGAATCGAAATGTAATATTGTTGTCAGAAACAGACGCTGATGCAGACAAATTATTATTGACAGATGTGAAACCTTTCCTATTAAATGGGCAATCACTTCTGAGATTGATCACAGCTTGCAGGTGCAGTCGTGCCTTCAAAACAGACCAAAATAAATTAAAATTTGTTATAAAAAAAAAAAAAAATTGCAAAAAAATATCAAGACAAGCCGTCAAGGTTCGACGTCAATGTCTTGTGTGTTATTATTGTATGTTAGTGTGTTTGCATTGTCTAACGACAATTTTTTCTTTCTTTAAAGCATTTAAACCATGCAAAAGCAATATAGGAATGTTATGAAAGCGTATACATATGTAAAGGGTGATTTTTTTTTAGAGCTATAGGAAGGTTTTTCCAAAAAAGCACATAAAGCTCAGAAAAATGCAGTAAATATTTATTTAAATCGATAGTACGGTCCATATAATTTAATGTTTGGAGATTATTTCATGTAAATGTTGACCGCGACTCCTCCTCAAATTCATTCGCTTAGTCCAATTTTGGCATACTCTATCAAATATTTCGGACGATATCTCACGAAAAAATGCTTCAATGTTGTCCTCAAATCCGTCAATTGAAGCGGGCTTGTATGTATAGACATCAAATTTGACATAGTCCCACAAAAAATAGTCTAAAGGCGTTAAATCGCACGATCTAGGCGGCCAATTGACCGGTCTGCCTCTCAATAAGTCCATTGTTACGTGTGCTGTGTGGCATGTGGCAACGTCTTGTTGAAACCACATGCCATGCTAGTCAAGCTCTTGCATTTTGGGCAAAAAAAAAGTTTGATATCATCTCACGGTAGCGTTTACCATTCACAGTTACGTTACGATTCGCATCATCTTTGAAGAAGTACGGTCCAATGATGTCACCAGCCCATAAACCGCACCAAACTGTAACTTTTGCTCGATGCATTGGTAGCTCTTGCAATGCTCCTGGCTGATCTTCACTCCAAAATCGACAATTCTGCTTATTTATGCACCCATTAAGCCAAAGATGAGCTACGAAGCGCGCGCGTAAGATGAACTTTCCTGACAGACACGCATTTTGATAACAAAATTCAAAAATTTGGAAGCGTTGTTCGTTTGTAAGACGAAACTGAAGATGTTTAACAGTGATACAAAACACGAAACGTGCGTCAACTGTTTAAACCCATGTTGCCATAATGATAATAGCTAAAAAATCACCCTTTAGTTTATTCACTACTCCAACCTTGACTCATAAAGCGCTTAAATAATCACTTATCACCGTCGCCAAGTTGCAAAGTGCGGAGATTATTTTAAAAATTAATAATTCCACTTGCGGTCTGAATACCGTTAACACATATATTTTATGTACACCTGATATACCCTGCTACTACATATAATATACATAGAGGCATATACAACTGGCTTATAACATTCTAAATTTGCAGATGCAAGCGAAAAGAAATGGCTGCTGGTCGACTGGAGAATGTCACACAAACTATTTCGAAAATCCTACAAGGTTACGATATACGATTACGTCCGAATTTTGGCGGTAAGCTTCAGCGGCAAATAATAAACAATTAATTTAATCTTGTTAAAATTTAAACGTACTTTCAACTTTTTTATGTAGGTGAACCTTTGCATGTGGGTATGGATCTCACCATAGCGAGTTTTGATGCCATATCTGAAGTGAATATGGTAAGTGAAAAGAGACCAAACTACTGTACTTCTGCACAAAAAGAATTAGTTAAAGGCAAATAAAAGACTTCTACTGAGCAGTTTAAGGAAATTTCCAAGCAAAGAATATTTCAACTATTGCCGAATGCGTACTGCGTCTATTAAACTCTAAACTCTACTTCCGACCGTAAGTACTAGGTTTAGGAAAGGCCTGGGAAGCTATGTGTAAGAAGGAAAGGAAGATTATAAGTTCACCCGCAGATCAACCCGCCTTCTCCATAATCCGTGTTTACTGTCATTTACAGAACATTTTCGAAAGAGCTGACGAGCCGATCAAGTCGGCTGGCATTGTTCACCTTTTGAACCTTAGCGATACTCAAAAAAATAACCACACTTTCTGGTACTGTTATAAGCAATCAATGATATTTCCACAAATGCATTTCAGTACTTCCATTTGCCGACCGTGACTAGTCTTAACAAAGTATTCTGGTCAGTAATTAAGTCTCGTCGTTACAGGACTACACCATCACCATGTATTTGAATCAGTATTGGCGTGACGAGCGGCTCGCCTTCAATGCCTACGGACCATACTACGACGACGATGCCGACGATGATGGCGTCAATGATGTGCTGACACTTTCGGGAGATTTCGCTGAGAAAATCTGGGTGCCAGACACATTTTTCGCAAATGATAAAAATAGGTAAAATCACAAATCACAAATCACAAAAACTCAACTAATTTGAAAAGCGAACAACTTACTCATACATTTTCGTTTCTTTCTTTTCAGTTTCTTACATGACGTCACCGAACGCAATAAACTGGTGCGTTTAGGTGGCGATGGCGCTGTCACATATGGCATGCGCTTTACAACAACACTCGCCTGCATGATGGATTTGCATTATTATCCGTTGGATTCGCAAAATTGTACGGTGGAAATCGAGAGTTGTAAGTAAATGAATGAAACAAAAACTAGTGGAGATTTTTGTAGATTTTTAGAAAGGACAATTTTTGTTTGCTGTTTTTGTTGTTGTTCCTCGTTTGTTTGTTTGTTTTGGTTTTCTTTGCCTTGTTCACCACTACTTACAGATGGCTACACCGTTAGTGATGTAGTGATGTATTGGAAGCCCACACCGGTGCGCGGTGTCATGGACGCCGAACTGCCACAATTCACAATAATCGGTTATGGCACAAACGATCGCAAGGAGCGCCTGGCGACCGGCATTTACCAACGCCTGTCGCTCTCATTTAAATTACAACGGAATATTGGTTATTTTGTATTTCAAACATATCTGCCAAGTATATTGATTGTAATGCTTTCGTGGGTCTCCTTCTGGATCAACCACGAGGCGACGAGTGCGCGCGTCGCATTAGGTAAGCGCAGAAGAATATTCTTAACTCACACACTCTCACATTCACGCACCCGCTCACTCGCTCATCTGCTCTCACACAGGCATAACCACCGTGCTCACAATGACCACAATTAGCACCGGAGTGCGTAGTTCCTTGCCAAGGATATCGTATGTCAAGGCCATTGACATTTACTTAGTTATGTGTTTCGTGTTCGTCTTTGCCGCTCTGCTTGAATATGCAGCTGTCAATTATACGTATTGGGGCAAGCGTGCAAAGAAGAAAGTGAAAAAGTCCAAAGATGGTGATGGCAGAAAAACAGGTGAAATTGAAAATAATATTTTTTTTAAATTAAAATACCGCAACTTTCAACATTTCACACCACACAGGCAAAGGCGACAAATTCGAAACGTGTTCGACAGCCGAGGACATCATCGAATTGCAGGATGTGCGCATGAGTCCTATACCCTCATTGCGCAAGGGCAACTACAATAGCACGCTCGGCTCCATAGGCACTGAAACTGTGGACCTGGCAAAGTTTCCACCGAGCTTTAGAATTACGCGCAATTATGGCACGAATCGTACACATTTGCGCTATAGAGGTCAAAAAGGTTAGTTCATTGTTAATGTTGGGATATTACTTGCAGCATCAAAAGGATTTGGCCACTAACACTCCTAAATAGAAAAATTGAAAGTCAGTATGGTTAAGTCCTGCTTCCTTTTGTTATGAGTTAAAGGCTGAAAAGAAAATTTAAATAAAATAATTAAAATTGAAATTGCACAGTGAATAATCGTTGGACAGGCAATTGTTTTGGATATGGTAGCATCCTCTCATAGGATATTTTTTAAATACCAGATGCAGAATCCACGAACAAAAAGCTGTAATTTATTGTATGTTTTCTTAATTCTTTTTTTTTTTTTTTGGAACGTTATCATATGATACTAACCACCTCCAACAAGAAGCAAAAAGACTCGCTATTGAATGCATCGAAAACCTAAACACTACTCAGACATGATATGGCCACATCATTCTAAAAGTGCCTTAATTTACCCACGAAAAATTGGAGAGAGACACCAAAATTAATGATTGAAAATCTCCGCTTCCTTATTTCTTATATAAACACACAAGGATACCAGAAGTAGAGATGAGAGGAGACACACCAAAATTTATACCGTTCGGAATAAAAGAACGACCTTAATATATTCACCTATGCCCGTCTCTCCGTATGTTGTCTATCTGTCTTTTTTTCTGTATATTAGTCTGTTCCTTTTTCCGTCTGTTTGAACGCAAATTAGAGCTTCAGTTATTCAGACAACCGTTATATTCATATTGTACAGCATTCAGATTTTATTGCAAGCTGTATCCTCAATTGCCGAGTGATATGTGTCTGTGGGCAAAAAGTAAGGTGAATTTGTTTGAAAAATTAAAAATCTATATTTATTTTTCTACATCGACTTCGTTGCCTTCACAATAGTCCCCTGCGGATGCAATGCCCTTATGCTTTTTTCAATTATCGTATCGTGAGAGCGCGCCGATTTACAATGCGTTTAATCCCCTCAATTGACTCAAAACGGTGTACTCGAAGTGGTCTCTTGAGTTTTTGGAAGAGCCAGAAGTTAAGAATGCATAAGTCTCCTATAATCATGCATTTCAGCTTGACTTGGTAGTCAGAAAGCATGGTTTCACACACATCAACGCGACAACTTTTTGCCATGAAATTTAGTGTTTTTGGAGCCAAACGAGATTTGACATTTCGTTGGCCCAAATAGTCTTTCAAAATCGTTTTTATAGATCCTTTTGATATTCCAACCATATCAATAAGGTCTCTAACAGTCAATAGACGACTTTTGAGTACTTATTCGTTAATTTCATTGACGTGCTGCCCATCCATCAGTTGCCGCTGATGGTCGTCCCGAGCGCTTCAAGTCATCAACACGTTTCCGATCCTCCTTGAAGTCTTTTTAACACTTATACACGTTCTTCTGTGACATAGTTAAGTCCCCTAAGGATTTCTGTAGCGTCCCCAACATTTCAGCGGCCGGAAATTCGTTCCACAAACATAATTTGAGCTTTTAGTCGTCCAGCAAACAGAAGCGTAACTAAAATACCAAATCAATAACAGTGCTACCGACATTAAAATAAAAATAATTAACCCGAAATATTACAAGCACGCAGATCAAATTAAAAATTCACCTTATTTTTTGCCCACAGATATATAGTATATAGCTGAAGAATGAACGGATTGGCACAACCATTTAAAATAAATAATCTTCAGTAATTAATTACTGCGTAGAAGTGATTGTAGTTAAGAAAAATTTTAAAGATTCTCCTTTCGATCATTATTATTATATTCATTATACGATTTCCCAACCTTTCAGGCAAACCACGCATGCTGCATGCGCTGAAGCGTGGCGCCTCCGCGCTCAAAGCAACTATACCAAAAATCAAAGATGTTAACATTATTGACAAATACTCACGCATGGTGTTCCCAGTCAGCTTTCTAGCCTTCAATCTCGGCTATTGGCTGTTCTACATTCTGGAATGATAGCACCTGATGACACTTCACGCCAAATAGGAGGAGCCCTAGTTTAGTGTGTAGTGTGCCAAGTAATGCAAACCAAAACCTCAAGGAAATTCACGAAGCCATTCTAACCAAAAGCCAAACGCCAAAACACCGCCAAAATTAAAAGCAGGCAAATAATCAAAAAAACAATGTGAGTTAGTCCACAAATCAAAATTATACGGAAATTAAGAATCAAAAAAAAAGAAAACTCTCAACCAAAAGCAACCAACCAAATGTGTCGTCCTCAGAAATTCAATTCAAAAATTATTTATAAAAATTGATGTTGAGAAAATTGAAGCCAAAGGAGCTACTATTAGTCGAAGTTTAAAAAAATGCGCATAAAAGCAAACAAAGAATAACCAAAAAAGAACAAAAAAAGCTAAAAGAAACCAACACCTGAATTGTGAAAAATCCCATGAGAAAAAGTAAAACAAAAAATTATATCAAAAGCACGAATTCATTGCCACCACTTTGCTGGATGTGTTTGAAAGTATTAAATAAAAAGTTCAAAGCCATATGAAATTTACTAAAAAAAAAACAACTACAAATAAGTAAAAATGTCGAAATTTATTAACAAATCAATTAGCTAATAATGTAATTAAATACATACATACCACATACATACCAACTGTAGGAATACTTACAAATGTTTAGTTTAAGTTAGCAATGAATTAAGTAGTCCCTAGAGTATAAACCCAAGTCTTAAGGGGCACACCTAGTGTAATGGCCCAAAAAAAAGGTGATTTTTGGGAATTTTTACTAAAAAGAAATACTTTATCAATTATTTCAAAATTTTAATAATATATTTATACATTTTTCAAGAAGATACAGTGAAATTCATGAGGAAAAAATTAAAAAAAATAAAAAAAAAGGTCCTTCCCCGCTGCAGTGATTCCGGCCTTCTCCGTGGATGAAATCTAAAACAAAAAATTCTCGTTAAACTAGATAATATTGTCTGTCAAAAACTGGCAATAAAAAAAAGTAAACGAATTTTACCCAAAATTTTGGTCGTCTTTGGCCTGCCAAAATTCGATTTTTTTGATCAGACTAAAAATCGATAGGTTATTGTACAGAGAACTATATATAGAACATGTAAAAGAAATTCGACAGTGATCGGATCATTTGTTTTTGAGTAATCACAGCAGCAAATTCGGAAAATGCTGTTTCGAGAAAAACCGGTTTAAAGATAAAACGATCTTTTTCACTCGTAGCTAATGAGACTTTTTAGCTGCCGAGCGGCTGCTCTTTAAATTGCTATAACTCAAAAACTATTTGAGATATCGATTTGAAATTTTATTATGTTATTTTTTAAAGTGTAATCTATTGAAATATGAAAAAAGATCGATTTATTTTGAAATTTCCCACTAGGTGTGCCCCTTAAGCCTACCTAAGAGGAAAGAAAATAATTTAAACAATTACATTATTGGTAAATTATGACAAAATATTAGAAAAAAATTTAAATACTAATTTTAATTTTAATTTTATTTGAAACATATTTGTCGTACCACTGAACCAAGTAGCTCGCCCATTTGAATTTCGAATCACACCAACAACACACATCTTGCATACTACAAACATTTCCAGTAACGAAATTTGCTGAAATTTTGTTGAAATAAGTACAAGATTACCGTTAAGTAGTTGAGAAAATTTGCGTAAAGCAAACTACGTACAGAGAAACGATCCGGATAATGAATGGCAAGAAAAGCAAAACTTATTTTTAGACAACTAAGACACAAACTGTTAAACATCTACAAATAAATTAATATTTGAAATTTGATGAATGAATAAACGTGCATATGATATTTTAAGCAACGGTATTTTATTAAATTTATGCAACTCAGAAGATGAATTTGGAGAAAATTATCGGTATTATTAACGGTGTTTAACTGCATAGACATGCGATTTCACATGCCAAGCCCACAAAAAAGAGTCCAAAAGTGTTTAATCGCAAGATCTCGGAGGCCATTAATACGCTCACCAAAATTCTCCTTCAATAAATGTTTTCGTTTCGTTGGCTTTATGGTCGTTTTGTCGAAGCCAAGGATCGTGCACATCACAATTCTCCAATTCAGGCACGAAACAGCTATTAAATACGGCTCTATAGCGTTCCCCCCTTGACTGTAACATTACAGCGGCAAAATTTTTGAAAAAATATGAAGCAGTGAAAACACCAAAGATTGGCTTTTCGAGGAATGCTCTTCATCCTCAACAATGACTTGTAGAGGATCATCACTTCAAGTGCGACAATTCTAGATATTAGCATTAACGTTCAACCTAAAGTGAGTGATCTTCATGGCTGATGGAAATTTTCTTCGTTTCATTCTTCGTCCATTCTTCGAAGGTGCATCAAGATGAATTATTATTTGGCTTCAATTCTTGCACGAGTTGGATCTTTTAAGTCCGAAGGTCAAGATCCCCCTGCAAAATCTTCCGCGAAATGCATGGGCACTGCTCCAATCGTTGCACAGTATGCGGGCTGAACTCATTCGGGTCTTCCGCGATACCCTACTATGCGACAGCAATACCATGTTCGATGGGCACTTTACGGCAACTCATAAGATGCATACTATCTACTAGCATAAACGAGGTGCAAAACCCAACTACGTTCGCTCGAATTACACAACTATGTCGACCTAATATTAGACAGACGCGGGACTATACTCAATCCCAGCACTTGCGTCCACTGCAAGCACCCTGGAAACGTGAGCAACGCCTGCGCAAGATGCGGTAACCAACCAGTGAGGAACTATGGGGGGCATGGCTAAAATACAGAAAGCTTCAGTGGTGCCACTCCGACTTATTCGGTTTAAGGCTTCGCTGAAGTCTAACTGTAGCGTCTGCTCACCAGAGGTGTAGCTACAAGCGGGCGTCGGTCTTGAAACAAGCGTCCCGCATAGCGAGATTTTGCGCTGAGTGTGTGATCCCCGACGTAAAAACCACCTTCAATGAAAAAGTTGATAAAGCCTCGGAAGAGATACACTTCTTCTGATGACGACCCCCGCAATTGTTAAATGTTTCACGATTTGAGGGCATGCACCTGGATTGACCCGTTCCTTAATTGGAAAGGTGTCGCTCAGTTGGACAGCGGTTGATGTCCTCGCTAAACTACTGGCCGCCATCACCACCGTCCAGGAAGCCGTCCAGCGATAGACGGGACAAGAACGAAAGCGATGATGTGCTTGTAACAGCCATATAAAGGAGCCCAAATTTGGTGTACACTCGTGATGGGAGAGAGATTCCGTGACCGAGGACTGATAAACACACCAGTAGATGAACGCCTCGATACAATCCACATCAAATTGGAGATATTTCCCTTTAGCCTCGTTCACTACTTAGCCCATTCGCTTGGCTTTCTTAAGTCTAGGGAAGTCAGCAACAATGGCGCAACCGATGAGACTATCCGTTTGCGTTTTCTCTAGTTGGGGTCGTCCCTCGGCAAAGAATGTCAACCCCTCCGAGTGTATTTCTGACAAGGAATGAAGCTCCTCATAAAAAAGCATCAGCCGTTCGGAGGCGGCTTATTATAAACTGTAAGTTCAGTTGTCCATTTGTTGGAAAGACATCAAGACACAAAACCACAAAATGGAGGAGAAGCTCGACCAAAAATCGCTTCAGCGGTTATATATATATATATACGTTTTGCTGGAAAATCAAATTCAGGCAATACGGCGTGGAGGCAGCATCTTTTTTGGCCCATTTTAAATATCTGGTTAACGGTGGACTTAGCATGTCTAAAGCTTCACTAGTACGATCCAATCGCGTACGCGGTGGCATTGTGTTTCGATTGCCCAAGAGCTAAAGATTGTACAGAAAAACATTTGGAACCATTTGAATAAGGCAGGATATGAAAAGAGAGATTAAACCATTAAATTTTTTGCAAAATTAGTGGATTTCTTTGTCTACATCTGATATATGGTATTGAGGAACCTTCACCCAAGGTAATCGGCGCAGCCTGTGGGATCCCATGGTGTTCCATTTTTACTGCCATCAAGCAGGCTGAAGAAGTGTTCCCTCAATATATGCATTAATTAAATACATAAAAAATTCTGAATAAAATTCAATTTCGAAATTACTAATATTAATATCCACTTAAACCAAATTAGTCAAAGTAAATACATAATTGCACGACGTGAAGGCATACCAGAACAGGTTCACTTAAATAAAACGCTTTTAAATAAACCATAATAAACATCTAATTATAATATATCATCTATTCATAAATGGTAATGCCACAATATCGAAATACTGAGAAGTACAAAATGTCCTAACCTCAAAATACCCAAACCCCTGACCAACACCAATACGCAAATAGTTAGACAAAACAAAATGATTATCCACCTACATATGATTATACAGAGTTTGTGCCGTTTTTTATGTATATATATATATATATATATATATATATCTATATATACATACATAAATGAACCATAATAAATATCTAATTATAATATATCAAGAGAAATAAATACAAAATGCCTTAACCTCAAAACACTCAAACCTCTGACCATATGTATATATGTAGTGTATATATATATGCACATATATGCGCAAGTTAGTGCAGTTAATCCACTGCCTTTACATAATACATACATGCTGTACACGCATAGACAAAAATATTTAACTGTATATGTTTGTATGTATGTATGTATGCTTATGCAAAGGCATCGCCGCACAATGAAGTGAATGAAAATTCCCATTTTGTTGTAACCAACAAAACAAAAATCATCAAAAAGGAATTGCGTAGGACCAACTGAATAAATTTAAAACATTTGTATATATAAATATATATATTAATGTCTGGCACACATACACAGTAAGTACTAGCACATACAAAAGAGAGTCTCGAGAAGAAAGGATTTATTTGCACTCAAAAGCTCTCACCGAATATTTGTGAGTTAACGAAGGAGAGAAAGTTGTAACTCCATGCTTGAGAGTATAAAAAGAGAGTATAAGCATCGAACTCGTCATCATCAGTCATACTTTAATGGTTTTAATGAGGTGTAAAATTAACGGTAATTTCTTGAAAACAGTTATTTCAATATTACAAAAATATTTTTACTGAATCTTTAGATATTTGATTTTTATTTTTTTCATTTTTTTTTTTTTTTTGTATTTATTTCAGCAAAGTAACCAGAGCACGAAAGCTTCATTGTATATGATGCGAAATTGCTAAACAAAACAAAAACAACCATATTAAACAAAACAAAAAACAAAAAATACTTTCATTCAAAAAAAAAAATTCCCACAAAATTCCTTACTCTTATTTTTAGCTTATCAAATTATATTCACTTAAGTTAACAACATAATAATCTTCAAATCATTGCGCTATTTTTAAATTTAAATCAAGCAATTCAAATATTCCAAGACCAGCGTGGGCAATGAAATTTAACCACACAAACCAGTATCCATTATATATGTAAGAGTGTGTAAATATGTATACACATTTAGAAATTGATATAAATATGATATACAGGGTTGTCCATTTTGTGGTTTCGAAAATAAAAAAGTAAATGAAATTCGTTTCATATTACAGTGAAACTTCCCTTAACGGACACCTCTATTGATCGGGCACTTTTTCAAGTTTTTTCAACGGGCAAAAAACCTGGTCCCGTTGATACCCTTTTATGCGAAGTTTCACTGTATGTTATTATTATCACGCCAATGACCGCCTCAGGAGGAAACTTTCGACCACTTTTCGACACATTTCGGGTGATATATCAGCCATCACTCGTGGTGGAAGATCGACATCGCCATAAGAAGAGATTGCTTCGCAATAAAACCACATTCATTCATGTTGTGTGGCATGTGGCACCACCATCTTGTTGAAACTGTATATTGTGCAGGTCGTGTTCCTCACTTGCAGGTTATCATAAGACCATAACGCCCCGAAGTGGCAGTGGCAGCCTGTCTGTATTTGTTTTCAAAGGAGCGCACTAAACAGTTCTCTCTTCAATTCTTTAAGGATACTAGGAGACCCGAATGCGCAATTTCGATTAAGTCCAATTCCAAAATACACCATAATGTGACGTAAGAAAGTCCAAGCACTTGAGAAGGTCGAGAAATATACACATTCGTGTCTTCGGCTACACTTTTACGTATACATAATTGGCGCATTGTAAACGCTGAAGAGATTTTCGGCCGAGCTCCTCCTCCAATTTGTGGTTTTGCATCTTAATGATTTTCCCGCAAAACAAAGGGACCCACAGTTTATACTAAGCCGCCTCCGAACGGCTGATCGTCCGAAATACACTCGGAGGGGAGGACATTCCCTACCGAGGGGCCACCGCAATTAGAAAATCGAACTTAATTTTTTATTTAAACTAATTATCTTTTTAAGCCCGGGCCTTCCAAATGGCATCACGCAATACTAACCACTCGGCTACCACGGCCGCCAATATTCAATGCGAAACGGACAAAGCGATGATGCACAGTCCTAACGATATCTGCACCATAAAACAAAACATGTTTGGTTTTACAATTAATTTTGAAACCCCAAAATGGTTAACCCAGTATTTATTTACATGAATGAGTAACTGAGTATGTATTAAATCAAGACGCAAAAATTGCAGAAGGTTATCAGCGAAAATAAGAGTAATCAAGAATATCCATTTAAGAAAAACTCAACATCAGTGTGAATGATATCAATCTCTTGCGGTTCGCGATATACTCAGATAAATAAATGATCTAACTGCGCTTTAGATCTGGACACCAAAATATTGGCTTATCTTAAACGCCGCGAAGGGTAAAGTATAGTGTATGATCACTAGAAGGGTATCGTGTTCGGCATTTTAGAAAAATGCACTCGTGCTCCTGCTCTCTGAGAGCACTCATTAGCAATACGGTTTAAAGCCTGTGAGACGGCATTTTAAGCTCCCTACCAACGAAACTTTTGAAATTCAGAAAGGTCAAAACAACAGCTGATACGATGAGGATTAGTCTACGTAGAGAATCGACTAATACAAGGAGTTGAAAAGGGGAGCAGGTTAATTGAAAAGTTTCAGCACTTGAAATGAAAAAATTTTGTTTTTTGTACAAAATTAAATTTTTTATTCAACAAAATCTCCCTTAAACTTCAATACATTTATTCTAATGATACACCAATAATTTTATGCCATCTCTATTATGATTTTCCGGAAGCTCTGGTACCCGTTTGCGGCAGTAGTAGCTTCGTCATTCGACGAAAAACGTTTTCCACGAATGAATTGTTTCAGGTTTTTGAAATGGTGGTAGTCGCTGGGAGCCGAATCTGGTAGAAACGTTGGATACTCAAGAAATTCGTACTTTAATTCGTTGCATTTTGCCATTGTTAGAACTCCTTTGTGGGCATGTCGAATGTCATAACCTTCTTTGCTGATCGTTGATCGAGTTCACCGGCTTTGAAGCTGAACAACCACTATCAGTCCACTGTAATCGTTCTTATTTTAATTTAGGATCATGGCGGTAGATCCAAGTCTCATCCGTACTTATGAAACATTGCAAGAAATGGATTTTATTCTGCTTAAAACGTCCAAATTATGCGGAGAAATTTATTTCCCCTCCCCTCCAGTTTTGGTTGAATTGTTAATTTGTGCGGCACAAACTTTTCAAACAGCTTTTTCATATGGGATTCTCAATGGAAAATATGAGGGGCTCCTTCGTCTGACATGCCTATGGCATTAGCGATTTCACGCTTAGCCAAACTTGGATCTTGACCAACAATATTATGAGCTTTGGTCATTGATTTCTGGTGAGGTTGCGGCTATTGGTCGATCTTTGCGTGGAGACCAAACATCAAAAAAATTATTGAGATTGGAAAAAACCCCATGTAAACAGGATCAAAACACAACACCTCTTCGGCGATTTTGTAGCAGCCCCCGGCAACTTCTTATCTCGTAACTTCTTCAATCTATTGCAAGAGAAAATAATACCGGCAACGGAGCTGAATAGAAGGGATTCAATATTATATGGCTTAACGTCATCAGCCTCAGCGATTGCGCCGTTCGTTCCGATTTCTCCAGATTGTATAACGAACGAGAACAAGGCGAAATATAGGTGTAGTAGAAAGTAATCCATTATTTTTTTAATAGATGGCATTATATAACTGTATCTCGCGTTGTATAAGTCCTATCGGGTTTGCTTGATGGCGATAAAAAGATGACACTGCACAGCAAACCGTTTGGAACCATTTGAATTAGGCAGGATACGAAAAAAAACTTTAAAGCATTCAATTTCACAAAAATAGTGGATTTATTTTTACTACACCCCGTATTTTCTCCCACCAATCAAACAGTCGATATAATTTTGAGGTTCTAGATAACGGCATGTATCTAGGCAACCGCATTAACGCCAGCAACAACGTCAGCATCGAAATCCAACACAGAATTACCTTTGCCAACAGATGCTACTTTGGACTTTATAGCCACCAAACGGCCCATGGACTTTTTTGTAGCAGCTTTCTTTTTCATATTAGAGATACATTCGGAGGCTTGACATTCCCTGCCGAGAAGTAAATGCAACTTGCAAACTGAATTTTCCGTAATTTTGGCATTGTTAGAGCCAGCACTCGAACCCTGGTCTTCAGAAAGGCAGTGCGTAATACTGTATGCTCCATTAAAACCCGCGTAACATCTTTCGAGCTACTCAGGGTCATTTGCCTACAAGAAACAAAGAAGCACGGTTTTGAAAAAAAAATGCTTAAAGTTTTGCACGAGCAAGGTGAAGCGAGCGCCCGAGCGCCCTTTATTAACGGTCGCATAATAAATAACTCAGATGTGTTAGTCGGATGCACTAGAAAATTTTCAGAGAAATTTTTTTTTTTTAAAGAAAATTCAAAAGAACGTGAGTTGACCTTTTAAATTGATTATTTAAAAAATATTTCCAAAAAAATCTAAAAAAAAAAGTTACTCCGCTTTTGCTTATAAAAAATTATTAAAAAAAATTAACACTGATCATCCGTACTGTATAGCTTACAGCTGCCCACTTTCCCTCTCATATACATATATATATGTACGAGTATTTAATGTTGCTGACTGAAAACTATGTATGTGCGTGTATAAATGAATGTAAGCAAGACGCGATGAGTATAAATAACAACAGTGTGAGTCAGATAGTCAATTAGTGGGTGACTGGGTGTTTAAGCGCCAATAACGGTAGTTAGTTGCTGTACAAGAATATACACGAGAAAGCTACAATTCGCCACTACATATTTACATGCAAGTATATAAATAAAAGAGTATATATACATATATACTTATGTGTATACAAATCGTTATAAATAAATTTGCATAGAAATTTAAATTAAACCTCTCTCTCTCTCTCGTCTCTCTCTCTCAACGCAGGTCACATGAGTGTAACGGTAGCTTTCAAACCCCGAACAAGCACGACTCTCTACTTACGCGAGGCAAGGCAGTGCGCAAGGTCGTTGGGCAAAGTTCAGAGATTCAAACGATACTTGCAACAGTGATGCTGTGCCTCAAACAAATGCACAGCATCCATGAATTTCTATTGTATTTTTTCTTTTTTTCTTTCGAAGGAGTCCGAGCTTTTTGCAATGAACGTGACTGCTCTGCGCTGTTCTGTGCTGTCTTGTGTATCTGTTGAGCAGAGAAATCTCAGCTTTGCTCTCCCTCATTAGATAGATATATGTATGTATGTATAACATTTTCTATATGAGATCTTATGTGTATATAAATGCAATCGTATGTACGTATGTACACCTGCTGTCGTACCACATAGCCGAAGCATGCCCCAATAGGCTGACTGGCTGGTCTACTGGCCATGGTGCGCTACCGTTGCGATTCTACGCGTTATTTGAGTACGTTTCCTCGTCGACGACGACGACCAATTTTTCCAGCAGCGCTTTGCACGGTGCTCGACGGTTGGTTGGCAAAGCGCTACTAAGAAGACAAGAAAATAATTTAGCAGGAGAAAAAAAAATTGTGCAAGTAGTGATGTGCAAGCTAAAGAAGAAGAAATCAAAGAAATATGAATAACAAATTTTGAAAAATAAATGATTTTGAAAAAATTACCAAAAGAATTTAGTGCAGAAAACCCACAAAATATTTTCAACGCATAATTTAAAAAAGTCAATTGAAGTTTGAAAATACTTGCCTGCATACATAAATGCACACACACACACACATATAAGCATATATATTAATAAAGTAAGGCGCAGTAAGGAAAATTTCTTATATAAAAAAAAGTTTTGTGAAAATATTTTCTCTACTTCGACTTATATATGTACATACCCACATACATATAAGCATGTGTGTGGGTTAACCCAATCACATGAATGGGCGTGTGTGTGTTCACCAAAAAAAAAAAAAGAATGAAGTGTAGTTAAAAATCAACTTGTTTCTTCTTAAAAAAATCGTGTTTTCAAACGCAGTGCATAAATATTTTAAAGAAATTTTCATTTTCAAGGCGAAAAAACAACCAACAGCTGCTCATACTCCAACGCATTTTCAGTGGATTTTTTTTTTCTTTTTTCGCTTAACGAATATGTGGCAGGCAACCTGGCTGTTGGCAAAATTTAGCTGACTTGGCTGTATTACATACTAACGTGCGTACATACATACATGTGTACGTATACACGACTAGCTGACTGGCTAACTCCGTGACCGTGGCCCGACACAGCTACAAAGCGATGTGTGTGCCGAACACAGAGGCTGTGGGCGTCTCCGAAATTCGCAGGAGCGTATATATGTATGAGTGAGTGTGTGTGGCTTAAAATACACATACATACGCAACGCAGTGGTATATACACATAAACAGCTAGAAAAGCTGTAAAAAATTACCAGCAAGTTGGAAAGTGTCGTTTGAAAAACGGAGATTTTGTACAGAAATTGTTTAAAAAAAAATAGTCAAATTAAAAAAAATTTAAATTCTTTCAAAAATATATATTTTTCAAAGAAAAGCTGCAGAATATGTACGTGCGTACAAAGTAATTCAAAGTTGCAAGGTGTGCCAAAATCTATTTTTTTTTTTTTTTTTTGATTTTTTGATTTTACTAACGAAGTTCACCCACAATTGTGGAGAAAAAATTCAATAAAAGTATTTAAAAAGCAAATGTGGAAAATGTAAAAAATGTACAGATTTCCAAAAGTTAATTAGCAATACATGCGCTCACGCTGTGGTTGTTGTTGTTGTTGTTGTTGTTAATGGAAAGCTTAAAAACATCTATTTAACTTTGTATTTGTTTGTAATAAAATAATGTAATTTTCACATCTTTTTCAACAAAAAATTGTATTGCAAACACCTTATTGTTGTTGTTGTTAGCTGCTCCACCTTAACCTGATTACAAGCAGTGTACGTAATGGTATGTGTATTTACTTTTGCCACGGACACAAGTACTCAATCGAAGCCACCACAAGCACACAGAGCGGCTGGGCAGTGTCAAAAACAATAATAACAGCAACAACAACAATCCGAACAACAATGCAGCATCAGCAGTTATCAGGCATACGCCCTTCGTACTTAACAGTAAAGCGATTACAGCAAAATAACAACAACAGCAACAAAAATAATAACAACAAATAAGCCATAATAAAATATTTAAAAATGTGCAGAAAGTGAAAATGCTAAAGTAAAAGATAAAGAAAATGAAAAAAACTTAAATAATTAATAAATTGGAATACATAAAAAATATATATACAAAATATGTGATGTAAAAAAAGATACGCAAACAACAAAATAAAAATACATAAATATACAAAAAAAAATTAAAAAATTAGTAATAACCAATAAATTAGACAAAAAAAAGTAAAACATAATAAAATAAAAATAATTAGTAATGAAAATAATAATATATACACAATATTAAAGGTTTTTTAAAAATGTATATATGTATGCGTAAAAATAATAAAACAAATTACAAACAAAATTATGAATAATATATAAAAAATAAAAAATAATAAATAATAAACTATAAATATTAAATAAAAAACAAGAAATGATAAATATTAAATAATAAATAATAAATAATAAATAATAAATAATAAATAATAAATAATAAATAATAAATAATAAATAATAAATAATAAATAATAAATAATAAATAAAAAATAACACATAATAAATAATTAATTATTAGTAATAAATAAATAATAAATAATAAATAATAAATAATAAATAATAAATAATAAATAATAAATAATAAATAATAAATAATAAATAATAAATAATAAATAATTAATGATTAATAACAAATCATTAATAATAAATAAAAAATAACACATAATAAATAATTAATTATTAGTAATAAATAATATATGAAAAATCCTAAATAGTAAATAATAAATAAGAAAATAAAATAATAAACAATAAATAATAAATAATGAATAATAAATAATATAAAATAAATAGTATTTAATAAATATAACATTATAATTAATAAATAATGAACAGCAAATAATAAATAATAAACAATATAGAATATAAATAGTAAATAAAAAACTAAAAATTAAAAGTTCTAAATACATAAAAATATTACATCAAAGGAAGCAAATAAATAATAAATAACGAATAAATATAAAAAAGCCATTAAAAATAAATATAAAACTAGAAACTATTTATAATATATAATACATTATAAGTATTAAATTTTATATAATTAAGAATTAACATTCATATAAAAACCATAACAAAAATAGGAAAGAAATTAAAAGAAAATGAAATATAAGGAAATATTAATAATATAAATATAAAAAATACTAAAAAATATATATAAAAAAATTAAAAATTAATAAAATAAAAGAAACAATAAAATCTAATAACAAATACATGTTTATAAAAAGTAATAAAGCGAAAAAATAAACCAGAAACATACTAATTATGTTAAAAATTAATTTTTAAATATTTGATACAAATAAAACATAAAAATTTTAAACTTTGTTGGAAATATTTACTTTATACATATACTTTCCTTATTACAATATGCATGTCAATATGGCATCTCTATTTACTTGTCATTATATAGTTATTANGTTGCCGTTTTGTACTCGCTAATAAATATGATTCTGAAGGTAAGATTGAGCGGCGTAAGGCTCGTCTTGTGGCTAAAGGATATAGCCAAAAGTATGGAATAAATTATAGTCAAACATTTGCACCAGTAGCAAGGCTGGATACAGTTAGACTTTTGTTGGCGTTGGCAGTACACTTTAAACTTACAGTGTGGCAATTTGATGTTGTGACAGCATACCTCAATGGTTTCCTTGAGGAAGAAGTTTTAATGAAAGTTCCTGATATGTTTCCTGAAATGCTAAATTGTATTGTTTCAAAACGAGGTGGAAATTGTTTTGTGGGTTTACGTGCAAAGAAGATGCTAGAAAACTTGCGTAGTGGCGGAAACGTGTGTAAGTTGAAGAGAGCATTATATGGCCTTAAGCAGTCTGGCCGTCAATGGTATATCAAGCTCAGCACGAAGTTATCCGAAATGGGATTAAAGCCCATGAAAAATGAGCCATGTTTATTTTATGGCAAAGTTAATAAACAATTTTGTTTGTTGCTGGTCTACGTCGATGATTTATTAATTGCATCAAGTAACTTGAAAAATATTGAATATATAAAGCAGCAACTATTACAAGAATTTGAAATTAAAGACCTTGGCGCAGCGAAATATTGTCTAGGTCTGGAGATAGAACAATCGGAAAATGGTATTCATCTGAAACAATCTGGCTATGTAATGGATTTATTAAAGCAGTACGGCATGGAAAAATGCAATCCCATTATGACGCCTTCAGAGGTAAAACCACAACTTCCAGAAGCTAAAGACAAGCCATGTGAAGAATATCCTTATAGGGAATTAATTGGAAGTTTAATGTACTTGTCCGTAGCAACGCGGCCTGATATAGCCAACACAGTTTCGCGATTGGCGCAGTTTGTCACAAACCCATCTATGTGTCATTGGTTTGCCGCAAAACGGGTGCTTAGATACCTTGCTGGAACAACACACCGAGGGTTAATGTTTCGTAAAACAGGCGATCCGTTAGTAGGTTACACCGATGCCGATTGGGGTGGTTGCGCCATCGATCGTCGCTCATATACGGGCTATATCTTTCTACTAAGTGGAGCGGCGATAACTTGGAAATCGCAAAAGCAACGAACAGTTGCGTTATCTTCGACTGAAGCAGAATACGTTAGTTTGGCAGAAGCAGCTAAAGAAGCGATTTACTTGCGAAGTCTTTTATGTGAGCTGGGCTTACAAACATTTAACGATATTAAGATTTTTGTCGATAATAAAGGAGCAGAATATTTGGCGAACGATCCCGTATTTCATGCTCGAACAAAACACATAGATATAAAGCATCATTTCGTTCGTGAATCTGTAACTGCTGGACATTTTGAATTGCAACATGTGCCAACGCAGGAGATGATTGCCGACGTTATGACCAAATCGCTACCCAAAGTGAGTCATGAGAGATGCCTAAAAGGACTTGGATTTTCTATTTGAGATGACCTGCTTATTGAGAGGGCGTGTTGGAAATATTTACTTTATACATATACTTTCCTTATTACAATATGCATGTCAATATGGCATCTCTATTTACTTGTCATTATATAGTTATTATATTTCCTTTTTCTTTTGTATTACTTTTTCATTCCTCTTCTCTTTGTAACTTTGAGCGCAAGCTGTTGAATATATATATTTGATCTCTGAACTAAGTCAAAGTGTTTTACTTTATATCTGGGAATTCTGCTGCCATCGTATCAAACTTTAATAATAATAAAATTAACAAAGGTAAAAGATAAATGCAAAATATTATTGAAGGAGCTCTAAAAATATTCCGAAAAAGCTGAAATAAAAATAAATAACGGAAATAAAAATAAAAAGCGATTTAATAAATTTAAAAAATTAATAAAAATAAAAAAGATTATTGAAATTATAATTAACTACAAATTAATCTAAAAAATTAATTATTTCATTAAAAATAATAAGAGAAAAATTTTATATTTTTATACGTTAAATAAAATATATTTAAAAATTTAATTAAATGAAATTAAAATTCCTGAAATTGAAAATAAGGAAACAGCAAAATATATCATGAATAAAAATAAATATAAAATGTGCAAACTAAAAATTAATTATTTCGTTTAAATATTAATTATAAAAATTAGTTTCAAACAAGATTTTACAGTATTTGCAGTAAAAATTAATAAAAAAAAAGTTGTAGCTTGTGAATACTGAAAAAAATTAAATGTTGATAAATAAGTTAATTTTATATGTTCTAAATTGAAAACTAGTTTATATTTATTTTTTTTATTTTCAGCAAAAAGAAAAACAAATTCCATTAAAAAGATAAAATAAAACAGCACTAATTCCGTATATCAAAGTGTTTTTCGAAATATAAAATATTAATTGAACTAAACAAAGATTGGCTGAAGAATGCGCAAAGCTGTGTTCGTGCACAAACGGTATCGTCGCAAACTGTAAAAACGATGAAACGTGGCTATAAGAGAAGACGAAAAGTGGTTTCGCCGGTGCAAAAACTCTGCTAAGAGTCGGCAAACCCTTGTCAAAACGCAACTGTAATACTAAAATAAATAAAAGTTTAAAGTTCAAAAAGAACTAGAACAGAAATAGCATAATAAAGGATAGAAGAAGACGTGACAAAATTACTATTGAATTTCAAGAAAAAATATCTAAATAAAAATAAAAATGGATATATAAAATAAAATATGAAAAATAAATAAATAAATAAATAATAAATAAATAAATAAAACTAAGTGTGAAAGAACTCTCAACGCCAGTGAAACATAAAAAAACTTAAACAATATAAGGCGTCAATTAATTTTACCGTAACAAAATGGAAAGTAAAGCGAATGTAACAGCACACGCGCAAGGCCACAAACCAACTCATTTCAAATAAACCTAACGAAAGCTTGTGGGCAGCTAGGACAAGAGCAAACAAGGAAAGCAGCAGCGAGTTAAGTTAACAACGAAGCGCCGAAAAATTACAAACACTTAAGAAAATAAGCGCCGAATCTGCAAAAGACTGCTGAAAGGTTATACAAATTGCAAAAAAAAAAAAAACATTCCAAAAATATTAGAAAAATCTCCACAAAACTTAAACAAATAAATCAAATATTAAAAAAAAGCAAAGTAAAATAAAAATTGTAACATAAAGTCAGAATAAAAGCAAAAATTATTTCAAAACCAAGCAAACAACGAGACTGATAGACGAAGCGCAGGCGATAACGATAACGAAGTTGCTGCTTACACTTGACAAACCAACTAAGTAACAAAACAACAACAAAAACCAGTCGAAACAAATACAACCGAGAAATAAAGCCAACAAATAAAATTCCCTTAAACTCCCACGTATTTGGCTCAACGAAGAGGATACATTGACATACAAACAACTAAGCAAGTGTAGTGTGAAGGCAGATACAGAAGAATAAGAAGAAGTAGAAAACGTAGAAGGGAAATAAGAAGAAGCAGCGGTGATAAGGAAGAGAACAAAAAAAAATATGTTCGGAAAGGAAACGAGAAATTTACAATAATAAAAGCTAATAATAGCAATAACAATAATAGCTGCAAGCGCTACACACACACACATACACGCAGGCAAGCACATGTACAGCAGTCTTGTTTTAATAATACATACAAAATAATATATACAAAAGCATACAAGCAGCTGAGTGCACAAGCTTAATCAAATGTAGCTTCGTATATCATAAAAACGATCGTATAAAATATATTTGCGAAAGAAAAAAGAATAATTATTACAAAAATTCTACCGACAAAATATCAACAACCAACAAATATTCTAACCAAAGAAAGGTCACCGTGTGTAGCAGCATTTCAGGCGTGGGCACGAGCACATACAACGACAAAAAAGCGTATGCTTGAAATCTACGCGCATACATACGCACGCACACACACACGCCAAAACTACAAACATCACATTCGTATCATGTATAACACGTTTATTCTGCTGCTTCATGTGCATTTGGGTAAGCGCCTACCAACACATGTCCATACCTAGTCAATTACAAAAGAAGAAAATTCTCGGGCGTATTGGGTAATCTTTCGTATGAGCTAATATATATATATACCATAAAACTCAAAGAAGTCCTGAACATATATAGGGGGTGATCAATTTCGAGGTTCCCTACTTTTTTAAAGAAAAAAAAAAACCACAGAAAATTTAAATTTAATGATGGTCCGTCCTTTGAGTCCAATTTTCGATGAGTCGCTCGAGTATTTCGACTGGTAACTGGCGAATGACATGCGTGATTTTGTGCTCAAAAACCTTAATTGAGCAGGCGAGAATGTTTTTTCTTTTTTTAGAAGAATTAGATTTTTAACATGCCTCAATGAACTGGTATACAACTAGTATGAAACTGATGCATAATTGGTATATTGGTAGTATATTTCCCTGCCGGAATGCTAGAGTAACTAGTTTTTCTTAACAAAACTCTTAATCGGTACTAACTGGAGCTCTATTTTACATGGCTATCGAGCAGAGAGTAACTCAGTACTCAATTTGAGTCGCTAAAGAATCACACAACGCGCTAAAAAACTGGATAGATTACAGATATTTTAAGGCCTGCGCATCATTTTATTTGCTCGTTCTCACTCAATTATCACTACGGCCGGCCACGATAGTCAAAGGGTTGGCATTGTCTGTCCCACTTCCAAAAAAAACGTGCTCTTTCGTCCAGAGGTGTGATTGGACGTTACTTTTTTGAAAACGACAGCGTCGAGACTGTCACTGCCAATTTGGACTGTTATGGTCGTAGTATAACCGACTTTTTTGGTCTGCAGTTAATGAACAAGAGCTTGGACAATACGCAGTTTCAACAAGATTGTACCACAAGCCAAACGACATAGGCGGATCTGGGTTTATTACGAGAGAAATTTTGCGGCTGAGTAATCTTTTGTTTCTTGGCCATATCAATTGGGCACCGAGATCGTGCAATTTGACACCGTTGGCCTTTTTTCGGGGAGCTGTGCGAAAGACCTTGTTTATGCACTTAAACTTTTAACTCTTGAAAAGTAGCACTCGTCAAGTTATAGCTGATACAATGCCCGATATGTGCCAAAAAGTGGTCGAAAATTACCTTAAATGGATCGAAGTTTGCTAAAACTCGCCAGGCGGTCATTTAAATGAAGTATAATATTTGGTTGCCTCGAAAGAAACCGGCAATTTTTCAAACCCACGTCGTTAGCATCGCAGTGAAGGTTGCTAAAAAGTTGCATAATTTGTACGGTGACGAGGCCTTAAAAGAAACTAAGCGTCCAAGTTGGTTTGTAAAATTCCGTTCAGGAGATTTTTCACTCAAAGGTAAACCACATTCAGGTCGGCCAAATGAAGTTGATGATGACGATATCAAGGCTTTAATCGAAACGGATTTTCATGTAACTGAGCGTGAGATTGGAGAGATGTTAAGTATACCAAACTCATAAAAAACGTTTTGGACTGGTTTAAAACTTGAACATGAATTGAAAGAAATTCATTTAACAAGCCGCTTCAATGCTTCTGATATGCATCTGAAACGTAATGATTATGATCCGTTTTCCAAGTAAATCCCAACTGGAGATTGTTTACAATGACGTCAATCGAAAACCTTAATGGTCTAAGCATGATGGAGCGCGACACACCACTTCAAAGACTGATATTCAACAAAAGAAGATTATGCCGTCTGTATTTTGTTGGAATTGAAAGGGTGTGGTATATTTTGAGCTACTTCCGAGGAACCAAACGACTACTTCAGGTGTATATTATGGGCAACAGGGGAAATTAAATACATCCATCAACGGGAAGCGGCCAGAATTGGTCAATCGTAAAGGTGTCATATTCCACCAAAACCATGCTAGACCGCACACATTTTTGGTCACTCGCCGAAAACTGAGAGAGCTTGAATGGGAGCATTGCTGCATTCACTATATAGCTCTGACCTTGCACCGTCAAAACCTTTTTGTTTCGATCTTTGGAGAGCTCATTACATGGAAATGCTAGGCACAGCCCGGTCCTTCTCTACCTGGTCTTTCCAACATAGTGGAGGTCTTCCTCCACAAATGCTTCCACCAGCGGGTACAGCATCGAAAACTTTCAAAGGTGGAGTATTCACATACATCAGGACCACAAAACCTAGCCAGTTTAGTTTCATTCGTTGAACTATATCAATGTCGCCGTATAACCGTACAGCTCATCGTTCCATCGCCTGCGGTATTCGTCGTTGCCAACGCGCAAAGGACCAACGTGAAAAGGACCATTACGCAAAACCTTTCTATCAGAAACTCCTAACGCCGTCTCATCAGAGTCTGTCATCGTCCATGCTTCCTCACAATATGGCAGGATGGGAACGATGCAGGACTTGTAGAGTTTGGTTTTCGTTCGTCAGGAGAAGATTTTACTTTTCAAATGCCTACTCAGTCCAAAGTAGCGCTGGATTTCTGGTTCCCAGATAGACGAAGTTACCTACGACTTCAAAGTTATAACTGTCAACGGTGACGTGGGAGCCAAGTAGCATGTGCGATGACTGTTTGTTTGATGACAGCTGATATTTCGTCTTGTCCACGTGCATGTGCCAATAGTTCCACACTCTTATATAAGATTATACCTCCTCTATTCAGCTCTGTAGCTCTTATTATTCTCTTCAGCATCAAATTGAATAAATCACATGACAAAGAGTCACACTCTGGCTGAAACCCCGTTTGGTACCGAACGGCTCGGAGAGGTACTTCCTGGTCCTGACGGAGCTTTAGCGTTGTTTGAGGTCAGTTTACAGTTTTACTGTCGAAGGCGGCTTTAAAATCGACGCAGAGGTCGCGGATGTCGATCCACTTTTCACGGACCTTTTTTGTCGTGTGGTGAATATTTGGTCAATGGTTGACTTACCAGGTTTTAAGAGGCACTGATAAGGTAAAACCAGTTTGTTGACGGTGAACATCAGTCTTTTACACAATACGCTCGATAGGACCTTATAGGCGATATTAAGGATACTTATCCCACGGTAGTTTTTGCAGATTGTGAAGTCTCCATTTTCATTTTCATTTCAAGGAAAAATTCTCTGGTAAAGATATAAAACTGAAATAAAATTGAAATAAACTTCTAATTCCGTTTCAATATTAATCCTGAAAGCATAACTTCTTTAATATGCCCCTCACCCTTTTATCAATATAAGAGATTAGAGAAAGGAAACGAACTGAACGTAAAAGTAAGTCAGCCACTCCCTTTGCTAGGTAATTAAATCATTTGGTATCTGCACAGATGCACTCGGCCACTTCACAGGACACTACATATAACTGTAAATGCACTTGTGCAACTACAAACGAGTGCAAATAAGAAAATTACATGTTAACTTACAATATATATATATGTATGTATTAGGCATGTAGACATATGTACATACATGTATGCAGTAAGTGCTATAAGCACAGAGAACTACTTACTTACATATTTCTATAAGAAACAGATGGAAAAAAATGACGAAAAAATTTCCGCAAAAAATGGAAGAAAAAAACGAAAACAAGTTAGAGATTATAACAGTAACACCCAATTGCAACTACAACATAGACATAATGCCGACCACCATTGAGGCTTACAGCGGCATGCACAAAGGCACAGAGGGAAAGCAGGTCAGCTAAGTCCATTTGATGCTTTCTTTTACATACTCGTATATACATACTCGTACATGGATATTTTGATACAAATGCATTTATTTAGGTATACGCGCAGCTATTTAGATGCATATATATGTATGTAAATAGATAAAAAGAAAACTGGATGCTGCTCGCTGTATCAGCCTTGCTTCTAGCTTCTTTTTTCCACACCTTCTGTGCTTCGTCTGCCTTTTGACTTCGCTTTAAATAATATACGCATTATACGAGTATGTAAGTGTATGTGTAGGTTAGTTTTTGCTGCGATTCAGCAAAAGCGTTTATATATCCTTGTCCGTTTTGTGAATCAATTCGACGTGTTTCGAATGTGTCCGCCACAGCTCGGATCTGCGCACACGAAGTGACGAAGTGGCATAAAATATTAAGCTCGTTTCGGCTGCCTTGTCCTTGGCATCGTCGCGTCGATGCGTGCAATTGAGAACTTCTTTCAAATATAGATGCTATACAATTTCTCACATAAATAGATATCTACGTACATACCTATCGTGTATATAGGAGAGTGTGTGTGTATAAAATTTATATACATACATATATACTGATAAATATATGTATATGAGCCCACGGAGGGCTTACTCTTGTAGCCTTTGTACTTATGGAAAGTTTTACATGCCCACGCGTACAGAGCGCCTTCCCTCCACTCTCACAGCCGCACTTCATTTAAGCCGAATACTTCACGAACAATTTTTTTAAAAGCGACGAAGAGCGTTCAAAGCTTTTAAAGCACTTTTTGTAAAACTCTACTAAATGCTCATTGATAAAAATTTTCAATGAACTCTCACTCTCACTTTCTCTCTCTCTCTATTTTTCTCATTACTCATATGTATATTCTCTTCGCTCTTCTTATCTTACTGCTTGCTCCCAATATACGCTCTCACACCACGTGCAGTTCTATCTCGAAAAAAGAGCGCCGAGCGCCGAGCGCCGAGCTTCAACCGTCGAGTTGGCTGGCTTTTATCATGAATGACTGCTTCGGCAAAAGTTCAGCTGTCCGCTGCCGCACATTTGCCCTTCAACTATAGCAATAAAATGGTATATCTTTGTTAAGAAAATAAAAATAAAACCTAAACAACAACATTATCGGAAAGTGAAAATCGCACATAAAAATGTGGCGCATGCGCTCAGCTAATGCAAATAATATTCACAGATTTTGACAGGCAACTCAATATAGCCAGGTCTGAGAGTGAGCGGATGGTAGGGTTGGACAATTGATAACTAATTGCGACACAATTTGTTTGGCTGTAACTTCCACAGCGCGCATTAGATTCCGGAATATAGCGCAGCAAAAGGACATTGAGCGGGAGGCAAGCCTCAAACTCTAAAACTAACTTGACGACGCTATTCGACGAATGGTTGCTAAAGAAAAAGCTCCGATTTCATTCATTAAATGCGAACAATTCTACCCCTCTCAGGAGCATTTTGGAATTTCTCCAATACTTATCAGTAAATTTATATGGCAATATGAAGTATTGAAGCTCTGCCAAGAACATGCAAAGTAAGACCGTTTCAAATAAAAAAATTCGAAATATTCAATAGACTTTATACCTTTAACTTTGACTGAACAAATTTTGGAAACTTCACTTCCGATCCCAAACTATTCACTGGGTTTGGTGGATGCCTTATCATTTTATTCAGTTAGAGCATATACTGTAAACATTGCTGCGGAAGGGTGAGTCTGGCTTATGATAGATTTCTTTTAACACATAAAAGGGAACTGGATTCTTGTTCTTTTAAAGTGAATTCCTACAATATAAATAAGGGTTCTCTGTTAGGAATTGTTCTTTCATCCGTAGTCTTTGGAAACGAATTAGAAGTCACCGATGGTATTCAGCCCAGGCTACGTCCTAATATTAGACCAGTAACCGGCGATCTATCTTGGAACTCCAATTTGTTTTAGCTCATTGCCCTTACAATATGCAGCGAATCTGTTGTTACCCAGTACACAAAATAAACTGATCGGAAAATAGCTCTTAAGCGTATCCAAACTGTCAGAGTAAATAATGGAAATGATTGCTCGCAGAAAAAGGTGTATCTCTTTTTCCAAGCCCCTAACTTTGTCAAAATAGCCTGAACTATGAATCGGTTTCTGACAGGGAAGTTCCCAAATGAAGTTTTCATCTAGACTGTAACCATCCTTGAGGAATAACGCTGCTCCTCATTTCGAGACGTTAAGATCAGCGCAATCAGCCCTGGTCAGTACCGCAGCTTCTCTTGACCTTAATTTATTATTCAATCAAATTCTGCCGAGCAATTTTAAAAGGCATTATATTTTGATGGCTCGCAATGTAGCTAGAATCGCTTTTTGCACACATGACGGCGGCCTAGTTATTGTAAGGTTTCTCCAGCGTCTTCTACCATACAAGTATTCCATGGAGGAGATAAAACTCAGCACTCTGACCCTTAGGCAGAGCAAACACTTGATCGCACTCCGACCCGATCCAAGAAAATCTAAGCTTAGGATAGATTCATACCTACCTTTCTTGGAGACTAATCTTCTTAAGTACTTTTTAATAATCTGATCAATTATTTATATTCTCTATATGACTAAAATATCATAACTTCTTACTCATTCCCACCAGCTAATTTATATTTTTCTTTCTCCTTCTCTCCGCAAACACAGCTCTAGGTGGGAATGACGACACGACAGCGGGTTGGCCAAGCATATCTGGCGTTCACAGTGAAGTCAAGCATGGCTCGGCACGGCAGTTACTGGGCTCCAGTTTTATGCGCGACAGTATTGCGCTGCACCATCAACAGCAGGAACAACGACGTTTTGGCGCTGGCGCAAGCAGTAAGGGTACTGGCGGCAGAGCAGGAGGCGGAGGCAGCGCTATTATGGCACTCAAACAAAAGCAAACACAACAGGATACCCATCATCCATATCACATAAGCCACGCCGATGATGATGATGAAGATATGCATCCATCTGACTTTCCGCCGCATGAGCATCCCGATGCTGATTATTTTGCACAATATGCACCTGAACTCTACACGACAGAATCACAGCAGTCATCACATGAAATACAAAGTAATAACAATAATAACGAGGGCGGCCTTACGGGTGCGGGTGGTACTTTTGGCGAGCTACCCAAACATCGGGATGTTGGTGCACGTAGCGGCATTAGTCGCACAGATCTTTACGGTGTACGTGAATCTGGTGATCGGCGCGGCGAAATGACCCGCGGTCGTGAGGGTTTCTTGAATATGCGTCACCATAAGGAGAAGGTATTTCGGCCGCATGTTAATATCGTACACGATGAAACCCGTCTAATGAGTCCGAATGATGGTTATGCGCGTAGCTGTCAAACCGTTTGCAGCGGTACGCAATGGCGTTGTCCCTCCACATGTACCTGTATTAATCAGAGTCAACGATGTGATAAGCAAAATGATTGTGATGATGGGGCCGATGAGTTTGATTGTGAGCTCTTGGGTGATATGTTGCATAAATTGCAAAGGGATTGTGAACAGACGGGCCGGCATGTGCTGTGTCCGCGCACATATCGTTGCATCAACAAGGAATGGCTGTGTGATGGTGATGATGATTGTGGTGACTATTCGGACGAGACACATTGTGGTGCGAATGTGGCGCGCACCAATTGTACGGAGGAGGATCAGTTTGAGTGTCAAAATGGCTTTTGTATACCAAAACAGTGGGTTTGTGATGGTGAAAATGATTGCAAGGACTTCTCGGATGAAACGCATTGCAATCGTACAAGGTAAGGAATGGTTGGTAGTTAGGAATCTTAACTAAGAGATTGCTAGATCTCTGGTGCCATGAAATGAGAAACGGGAAAAAGCCTTTTTGCCCATCTAAGTATTTTTCAGGAATAGGTGAGAACCCTTGGGATTGTCGTATTCAAAGGTCTCTGCTCAATTTAAGCCGAATACATTTAAGGTGGCAGTCTGTGTTATTTGAAGTATAAAATGCATTGTCTACGAGGTGTGACAATTAAGTAATGAGACTGATTCCATAAAAACGGTATAATACAAAATTATTTTACAACTCTGCCATCCCCTTAAAAGTATTCCCCTTGGTCAACTATCCTGTGCGTTTTTCATGCTTCGTAACATTTCTAGAATGCTTCGAGTGGAATGCTCGCGAGTACCCTCGGCACGACCGCCTAGATGTTCTCAATCGACTGAAAATGAGTTCCTTTGACCACCGATTTTGTTGTAAGGAACAGAAAAAGAAGACAAATACTCGGACGCGCTGAAGGCGGTGTGGCACGACGCGTTGGCGTGATGAAGGATTCAGTTACTAGCGACGTCTGGGCGCACCCTGTTGGCGATAGTAGACTTGATTTAGGGTTTGCCCCAGTGGAAGAAATTCCTCGTGGACGATTCCACGGCTATAAAAAAAGGTAATAATCATCGTTTTCATCTTCGACTTCTCCTTCAGCTCTTTATGACATCGATATGCCTGGGAAGTTTTACCTCGACGCGTTGCTCCTGATTCCGTTTCCGTGTCGAGCACCACGAACACACGTTTACTCAGCACGATACAACAGGCGAACTAAACACGCTAGAGCGATGGCAAATATATCAATGGGGAGGAGAAGGATGAAGAGAGTTTCAAGATCGTAGGGTTACTATAATCGCGGTAATATAATTAGTCCCATTACTTAATTGTCACCCTCGTAAAGTGCTTCAGAAACTTGCTCAACCAAAAACTTAAGTTAAGTTCCATGCGCCAATAAAAGGCTTTCGTCCAGCGAATTCCAAAAGCTCATTTTCTTACAAGCAAGTCGAAAATATCCAAAGAGAGCTCAGTAACTCCCCAAAGTCTTTTCGAGTATAGAATATTAGACTTTCTAATCACGATCGCACCACGTCAGGGACTGTAGACCCCTCGGCGGGTACTTCTAGAATGTCTTAATAAAATCCAACAGTTCGGAAGGAAAGCTGGTTCAAAACGATACTCAAATGTAGACTCAGAAATCCACAAGCTCTTATCAATACCTCTTTCTTACCAAAGACTATAAAATTGCCTTCCAAAGACTTAGCTGCTCGTTAGAAAAACGACCTAAAGTGAATTTTTTTCGGAAGTGTTGGAACTTATGAGAGATTTAAACTATGAACACCGAAATACCGCGTCTTCGAGCTCGATTTCGAAAGAGCTATGTAGATACTTTTGTTGACTTTATACCCTTTTCTATATTTTTTTATCTCTTCGCATTTTTAAATATATTTCTTAATCATAAACCGTCTTTCTCGCTTTCTCCCTTTCGCATCTTTCTCACTTACTCTCCAATTAGTTGCTCCTCCGAACACTTCACTTGCAATGACGGCTACTGCATTTCGATCGCCTTTCGTTGTGATGGCGAACGTGACTGTAACGACAACTCGGATGAGTTGAAATGTCCCGCGGTCTTCAATCGCTGTCCGGAAGGTGAATTTAAATGCCGTGGCAGTCATGGCGGTCCAAGTGGTCAATGTATCCTGAATAGATTTCATTGTGATGGCGATAATGACTGTGGCGATTGGAGTGATGAAGAGGATTGTCCACAAAAGCCATCCGACTGCACTTCCAGCGAATTCAAGTGTACGGATGGTAGTTGCATACCGAAGCGCTGGAAATGTGATAAAGAACAGGACTGCGAGGGAGGTGAAGATGAACATGATTGCGGTAATATGAATGCGAACTCCTCGGCAAAATGTGGCCCAGATGAGTTTACATGTCAAAACGGCCGTTGTATATTGGTGAGTGTTACGCGCACGCTTCTAAGGTTGAAGTTATTTATGTAAAACATTTTATGATTCCACAACAGAATACTTGGCTTTGCGACGGCTATCCGGATTGTTCGTCATCCGAGGATGAGGTCGAGTGTCCTCTACAATGCGACCCGGGTCAATTCTTGTGCCCAGCTAAGAAGAATATCACTAATTTGAAGTAAGTGTTGCGTAGATGACCCTGTGCAGACCTTACTATAATCTCACCTCCATTTATAGAATCTGCGTGCACCAAAAGCATGTGTGCGATGGCCAGAACGACTGTCCGTTGGGTGAGGACGAAGTGAACTGTCCACATCCACGTACTTGCGGTGAAGATTCTCGCTGCGAGCAGCTGTGCATAACCACCGCAAGGGGTCGCGAGGAGTGCGCGTGTAATTTGGGTTTCTTGATGCATGAAAACCGCCGAAAGTAAGACCAACTTTTTACTGACTAAACAGGAACTGTAAATATTTATTCTGTTATTTCTATCTTTCAGCTGCACCGACATCGACGAATGCCAATACATCACTAGTCCGGTTTGCTCACAAAAATGCGATAATACCTACGGCTCTTTCAGATGCTCTTGCGAAACCGGTTATGTGCTACGTCCAGATCTGCGCACATGTAAGGCGCTTGGCGGTGCTATGACCTTAGTTGTCGCTAACCGTTGGGATATCCGACGAGTTCAGTTGAGCAACAACCGTTATTCGGCCGTGGTGAAGGGCTTACACAATGCTATTGCACTTGATTATCATTACCGCAAGAGTTATCTCTTCTGGTCGGACGTCTCCACAGACGTAATTAAGATGGTTCACATGAATGGCTCACGTGTGCGTGATGTTATAAAGTGGGGCTTGGAATCACCTGGTGGACTGGCAGTCGATTGGATACATGATCTGCTCTTCTGGACGGATTCGGGCACACGTCGTGTAGAAGTTTCCAACTTCCTGGGTACACTGCGTGCCGTTATAGCCTCAAATGACTTGGACAAGCCACGTGCGATTGTTATTCACCCAGGCGAGGCGATGGTATTCTGGAGTGATTGGGGCCCTCGACCTAAAATCGAACGTGCTTATATGGACGGCTCTCAGCGGCAGGTCATCATAACGAATGGTGTCACTTGGCCCAATGGTCTCACCATCGACTATCCCAGCCGCAAGCTGTACTGGGCTGATGCGAAACAACATGCGATTGAATCCTCAAACTTTGACGGCTCGGAACGTGTGAAGATATTGAGCAGTCACCTGCCACATCCGTTTGCATTAACTATATTCGAGGATACCATGTACTGGACGGACTGGAATACAAAGACCGTTTCGGCGGCGAATAAAATCACCGGCAAGGGTTTCCGTGCGGTGCATGAAAATTTCCACTTCCCAATGGACATACATGCTTACCATCCTGCACGTCAGCCCGACTACCCGGACCGTTGTCAGAAGGACAGACGTGGCCTTCGCGGTGGTTGCTCGCACTTGTGCTTGCCGAATAAGTTGTCGCGACGTTGTGGCTGCCCCATCGGTCTGTCGCTGAAGGAAGACAGGTGAGTAGTTACCGATCACTCTACACTCTACAAAGAGCATGTCTTAAAAATTTCTTTTCCACCCCACTTAGTAAAACCTGCAAAAGCATACCCGATAAACTGGTTCTCGTTGCACGCAAAAAGGACATACGCCTACGTCAACTTAACTCCAAATCGTCCGCTCCGAATGAGGTTGATATGATTCTACCTTTAGACTACATGAAGCATGCCGTCGCCCTGGATTGGTGTAGTGAAACGGACTATATCTATTGGACTGATGTGGAACGTAGCACGATAAATAAGGCTCATCTCAATGGTAGCTATCAACAGCGTGTAGTACATTCAAATCTCGTCTCGCCAGCTGGTTTGGCTTTGGACTGGATCACAGATAAACTTTACTGGACAGATCCGGCGACGAATCGCATTGAAGTGGCAACAACAAATGGCAAAAAGCGTACTCTACTAATTTGGGAGAAGCTCGATAAGCCGCGGGATATTGTCGTGAATCCGATAGGTAAGTGGGATGGAAGAAATGAAGTTTAGTAGAAAAATGGTGAAGCGCTCAAACTCTAGATCTTTCAGAGTTTGTTAGTTGTAGATAATAGTTGTTGGTTCATCAGTTGAGATTACAGATTGCCAAAATCACCTACTCTCCTACTGCTTCCTAAACGTCGGACAAAAATATTCGAACGACCACCCCGTCAAGTGTCTGTGAAGAAATTGAGCGCCTTCCTTTCTGTTTAGAGCACTGCCAATCCTAAAAGGGATCTCAATGTTGAGTATAAACTCATATGATCCAATATTTTAAGAAGACTTTAAATAGGATCCAAGTCCTAACTCTACTACATATCAGTGATGAACCACTAACTCTTTCTGTAAGCTTTCTGTAAGCTTTCTACAGCAGAAATCTTCAATCGACAGGAACGTCACTACGAATTTCTTTTCATGGAATATCATGACGCTACTTGAAAAATACTTCAAAACAGACAGTTCCATGTGTCGTAAGTGACTAAACTCAGTAAGAGAACTCGCCCCTTTTGGTGAATAGCAATTATAAAGATAGCTGCAATTGGACGTGCCATCAACATCCCTTGAATGTCATTGAGAGTCAGTCAAAACCTTATTCAACTCTCTACCCGTGAATCACGTTATCGAAAGCCCACGATCACTTATAGCACAAAAGGGACCAAGATGCATCTTTTTATATGTCCCTTAAAACCAGTTCATTAAACACTGTTTCCCTTGGGTCAAAGCCTCTTGAAACAGCTGCTCTTTGGATCCCGTTAGAATACTTTAATGACATCAACTAATTTTGGGATATTACAGTTAGTCTCCCACCAGGACGCCACGTCTCTTTTACCTTTCCACCAACTATGCTCAACATTTTTTTATTTCACAGAGGGTTTCATGTTCTGGTCTGATTGGGGTGAGCACGCTATGATAGAGCGTGCCAATATGGACGGTAAGGAGAGAACTATCATTGCGGACACGAATCTCATATGGCCCAATGGACTGGCGATTGACTACGATCTACAGCGTTTGTACTTTGTGGATGGTGGCACCAAGACGCTGGAGAGCATGGACTTTGACGGTGGCAAGCGAAAAATTATATTGGGTAAGTGGTCGTGGACACCTAAGAACCTTTAGTATAAACTAATTACGGTCCACTTGAACCAACAGACAACCTCGGTCATCCTTTCGGCCTGGACATCAGCGAAAACCGTGTTTTCTGGACAGATTGGGAAAATCGATCCGCCTTCAGTGCTGACAAGCTCACGGGCCGGAATATAACAACAATTATAGCAAATACCAGTGACTTGATGGATATACGTGTGTTTCATCGTTCACGCACGAGCATACAGAATGCATGCGGCAGCAATAATGGCGGTTGCTCGCACCTCTGTCTGCTGAATCCGACAAGTTTCACTTGCGCGTGTCCCGTAGGGGTGCAGTTGAAGGTGGGTGTATTCGAAATTATTTGGGTTCTAAGAAATATGCAGTAAGAATGAGTTCCTTACTTTCTTTCCCACACAGAGCGATCTGCGTACGTGCGCCGAGGGACCAAGCCGTTTCATAATCTTCGCCCATCGCATCGACATACGACAGATCTCCTTAGACTTTGCACACTTCATCGATGTCGTGCTGCCTATGCCGCCCATTGGCAATGCTGTTGCCTTGGATGTGGATACAACGACGGGTGTCATCTACTGGTCGGACTCAAAACAACATGTCATCATGAGCTCCACACCGGATGGACTGAATGTGCATAAAATTATTGGCGACAGTTTGGATAATCCCGATGGCTTAATTGTGGATTCTGTTGGCAAAACGGTAAGCGAAAAATCGCAATAGCAAAATATACAAACCAAATTTTCACACCCACTTCCTTGCAGATCTATTGGGCCGACGCTGGTCGTCACACCATAGAGGTCGCCTCCTTGGAGGGTAAAAATCGCCATGTAATCGCCTACAAAGAATTGGAATCACCACGTGGTCTCGCCGTGGACTACGAGGCTGGCCTGCTGTTTTGGACCGATTGGGGTCACTATCGTAAAATCGAACGTTCACATATGGATGGTGAGAGTCGTCAACGAATTGTCACTTCCAATCTTGGTTGGCCCAATGGTCTCTCACTGGACCTGAAGACAAAGCGTATTTACTGGGTTGATGCACAATTGAAGACTATCGATTCCTGCGATTATACAGGTAATCAACGGAAATTGATTATGTCAGCATTGCATCATCCCTATGCCTTGGCCATGACGGATGATTACATCTATTGGACCGATTGGAAATCGAAGGCTCTACATATGACCGAACGTCGTAATATAACCGCAAAGCGCGAAATTATGACCAACATTGATGGACTGATGGATATTAAGGTTATAATGGTGAGTATTTTAAAACTTAGAATAGAAAACAGGAGCAAACTGGACTGGATGGAAAATATAATTCAGAGATGCAAGTTGGCTTCAAACTATCCTTTATGGATACAAAATAAAAGAATGAAGGGAATTCCAGAATTTTTGTCTCGGTAGTAAGACCACTTTCAAGCCTCACCTTGTTTCTCTTCAAAATCTTTGAAAGGTTATTCAACAGTTATATATGCCAAAAGGTAACCTCGAGCGGTCAAATCTGCACATGAGATTGACATATTTCATTCCTCAGGCAAAACTTTACCATCTGGAAAGAAACTATTAAGGCTAGCCTTCACTAGAGGGTTTAAGAACACATGACAGGAGCAAATCACTCGCAATACGCGCAGACAAAAGTTGACATTGATTGAAGAAAAGAGGACTAAATCTCTACTCTTCCTAAACAGGACTTACATTGACATAAAAACCGGCGTAATGACCGGGCTTGTCTAATGGAAACCTATGGTAAAAGTTTGAAGGTTGTTTCTCAAACCTTTTTTGTCGCAGCTGCAGAGACATACATAAGGATGAATCAGCGGAACTTCTGTAGGCATCAATGCCAATTGTCTTGATCATGCGGAATGGTGAGAGGTCTTTTCCTCACAAGCCAACATGGGTTTCCCAGTTGGGTCGCTAGGCCTAAGTGCGCTCGCTGAGGGTTCTGTGATAGTGTAAAGTCTTTAAATAACTAATTAACTACAAAAAAAAACTCATAGAAATACTGCGCATGACTAAAGCATAAAATTATATGCTGAAACACTCCGCCTTTCCAATAAGTGATTCAGCGAGTGGTTACGGCACCTCAAAAGTAGTGATATTAGCCTCAAAGACAAAGAGCTTCCTCGTGGGACCAGATAGATGTGAGCTGCTGCTGCTAAAACCAGGCGAAACCATTGGTGTGAAACGTTATCGACTATTACTAGAGCATTTCACGACCGAAGGGCATGCTAAAATGAGAGGTCTTACTCCTTCCAAATACTGGATTTTTCGACGGTTGCAAATTGATTTATATAGTCACCGTTTCAAAAAATATATTGGATCAAGGACAAGAAGAGGTCATTATTTAGATATGGTATTCGATAGTTAGCAGAGTGAAGAGAGCCGCTTGCGACAGGCAGGACAGAATAATGTACTTTTGCAATTTTTTAATAATTAAAAATTTTTTTTTGAACACTAAAACAAGTGCCAAATTAATTTCCACATCCAATCGAATATCTTTTGTGGTTCCAAATTTGTTTACTGGAATTGCTGGTGCCTGATTTGGAGGTATTCGGTAGGAGAATTTCGAAATATATGATTTTAATTCAAAATTAAGTGGCGCCAGACTCTCCTCTTCACTAACCTTGAATATTCAGTGTTAAAAGTCTGGGACCTGGTAGTGTTGTGCTTCCTTTTTAACAATTTCCAATATCACTTAGATATTTTAATTTTCCGCTCGAGTTATCGTCATATTGCGTTTTCTTCTTCGCATGAAGGATAATCAATTAGGAAAGAGAGAATGATTTTTTTTTTTAATTTCTGGCTAATTCAGATTTTTCTGCTCTTTAATTACCGTAATTTCATGTTTTGTTTCACTTTTATTAACAGGTCAATGAGACGCTACCAGCGAACGTGTGTGGTGAAAACAATGGAGGCTGCTCACATCTGTGTCTACGCAATCCGAGTGGATATTCATGTAAATGCCCGATTGGACTCAAGTTGCTGGAGGGCAGCAAGACACAATGCCAAACATTACCAGATGTGAGTATTGAAACCCTATTTACTGTTAAAAAAGCTATTGGAATTTCATTGCTCTCGCAATTTTTTCTGTAGTAAAGGAGTTTCCCCATAATATGTGTTATTTTGATATGCAAAGAAAATTTTCCCTCAAAAAATCCTAGATTTCGTTGCTTGTGTTGCACGTAGCGCCGTCTTTTTGAAAGTAAACGTTGCCCAGATAAACATCATGCAATTTTGGCCCTAAGAAATCATTAATCCTCTCTCGATAACGCAATCCATACACCGTAACTGTTGCTCCAGCTACATTTTCGATAAAGTAAGGGACAATGACCCCGCCGAAACACAAACCGCACGAAATAGCTATACGTTGAAGAATAAGAGTTAAAAGCCTCTATAAGAAATCTTGAGTTTTCCGAGCTCCAGATACGACAGAGGGCAGCTCTGCTGGAATTCAAAGGCAATTATATTGCGTGGCTGGTCTAGGCATCGACAGAAGTAGTGTCCAACAAACTCTACATTTTCTACGTTCCTGGCACTGGTCTAAAAATTATTTGAACTCCATTCATCTAATTCCAAATTCCAAATAAAGAGCGCCTCGTTCGTGGGAGTGCCACGTTTTGGCCACTGAATGTATAATACTGATCAGACCTGCCGAGTCACATTGCACATGGTTTCATCGAGTCCTCTGCCTCATTAAGTCTGTTTCTTTGGTTGCAAAAAGCTAACGATGTGTTTTGCCAAACGGGAACAAGGGTTGCAGTGCTGGTCCGTCGAAATCCACAATTATAGAGACCTAATTTTCTAGCTGCGGTCGTCTTTTCGAATTTGTTTCTAAGGAGGCATAGAACGAACTGCAAGTCACTTGGTTCAGTGCAAACTCGTGTCCATATAAATAGCAGAGTATAAGCAGTACCGAGTCGAGAAGTCGAATTCTATTATTCAGTGGTTTATCATAATTGGCTGCATTGTCCGTGATTTTACTTAAATCTGCTGATATAGATATGCTCTGCCCTATACCCAAAAACGGGAGCCCACACTGTGTGCCAATTGCCTTGGGATAAGCGTAGCATATGATATCCTAGCAAGATTATTGTGGAAAGTCTAAAGCTTACCGTCAACCAGCTATTTGGACCTTATCAGTGTGGCTTTAGACCTGACAAATCCATCCATTGACCATGGAACAAATATTCATCATGTACAAAATCTTGGAAAAGATCCGTGAAAAGAGAATCAACCACACCACAGCTATGTTTTAATTCGGTATTCTAAACGAGGTTTTAGAACAGGTGATACCTTATCATGTGGCGTACGAGCTGCAGAGCTGTATAGAGCCTGTATAATCTTCTATAAGAGACTGGATAAGGAAGCGAGAGATGTGGTAGTCAACGAGGTCAAGGCGAAATCCCTCCTGTCATCAAACAAACAGGCATAGCATTCTCGGTTCGACTCCCAAATTGGGTTATTTCTCATGCGTTTTCGTTGCTTTAAATCGCACATGTCAACCCTTAGCAAAGATTTATAATTAGTTTAAAAAAAAAACTAAAAAAAAGCATTATTTCTTTTAACGTCTCAAACATAATTTGTTCTCATTTACTAAAAACCTTCAATTTCTATCTTATACAAACCACAGGAGTACCTGCTCATTGCACAACGCTCTGGCATTGGTATGATCTCACTAAATATGCCCGACTACATGGATGTCGTACTACCGATTAACGCTGTGCATGGTGCCGTCGTGCTCGACTTTCATTATCGCAAGAATTTGCTCTTCTTTGCCGATGTAAATTCAGACGTTATAAGGCGTGTAGATCTCACGAATCTCACTAATAGTAGAACAATTATAAATCGTGAATTATTAACTCCCAATGGGATTGCAATCGATTGGATCGCCGATAATCTATATTGGTCCGACACGGACCGGAAAGTGATTGAAGTGGCACGTTTGGATGGCAGTTGCCGCAAAGAGCTCATCTCAGATGATTTAGGCGATCCACGTTCATTGATCGTGCATCCACGTAAGGGGTGAGTATAATGAAAAATTTCCAAAACTCGTTTTTCTTGCAACTAATGGCACATGCTGTATGTCTAGGTTGTTGTTCTGGTCTGATTGGGATGCACCGGCGCGTATAGAACGTAGTTTGCTGGATGGTTCGAATCGCACAATAATTGTGACTGAGAATTTGGGCTTTCCCACCGGCCTCACCTTGGACTTTGAGTAAGTTCGGTCACTAAAAATAGCAAAAGCAGACTTTTACACACTGCATTCTCTTTCTCTCTCTCTCTCTCTCTCTCTCTCTCTCTCTCTCTCTCTCTCTCTCTCTCTCTCTTGTCTCTCGCCCCTTAATGGTTCATTATAGTAATCGCCGCTTATTCTGGGCCGACGCTTTGGAAGATAATATTGCATCCGTGGACTTTAATGGCAAACGCAGAACAAAGATTATTGAGTTCGCGACACATCCTTTTGGTCTCACAATTGTAAGTTAATAACCTAAGCAATCTTCTCTAAACCTCATTTGATGATATACTTTCTTCTCTCGCCAACAGTTTGAGGGCAACATTTACTGGACCGATTGGTACAATAAATCTGTCTACCGTTCATATCGTAAAGGCCGCGGTTATGGCAATCCAATTGAGATACGCGATTCATTGAGTGGCGCTCTCGATATACGTGCGGTCTCAATTAAACGTCAACCAGAGGATTGGAATCAATGCGTTCAAGATAATGGCGGTTGTACGCATCTTTGTCTTTATCGTGGCTCCGATTATGCGTGTGCTTGTCCCGATTATCCAGATGCACATGAATGTAAGACGATACCTAAATTTGTAGTGCCACGTCCGAACGGCGGTGACAATTCGGCTGATTACACCGAAGAGACGACGGACAGCGAGGGCGACTCAGCAGAACTTGACGACGATACACTAGAAGCCAGCAACAATGCTAGTGAGCGTAAGAAAAATATAATCATTGGTATTTGTATTTTATCGGTATTCCTGATCATAGTCTTAACGGCCATAGTGGGTGAGTTTGAAAATAATGAAATTAATGAAACTGATTGAGATAATAATGAACGTATATATATTTGTTTGCCATAATCATACTTTCAGTGATCATTTTCAATTCGAAACGAAATAAAACGAAAAGGCATTCGCGTGGTTCCAGCCGTTCTGTCTTGACCTTCTCAAATCCGAATTATAATGTCGATGGCACACCGATGGAACCGAAAACGAATATATGGAAACGTTTCAAATATGACAAATCGCATGTAAGTATTAATGGGAATCTATTAAGAAAGCGAGAAAGACACTGAAGACCGTTTCGGCCGAACTTTTCCTCTAAGTTTTACTATGCGTTTTCATGCCGCTCCGAAGAGTTGGGAGATTTCCTGACTGAAAGAATACAGTTTGATACTATCAGATTTCGTGCGCTTCTTATTGTTCCCAAATAACTGAGGACAACCCCTGTTGGTACAATAACATTGTAAGGCTGATACAGGGCCCTCAATTCCAATCACAAAAGTATTTTCTTCTCATCGGATTCTGAAATGATTAATCACTCGCCGCGATGAGATTTCAACCTCGGGCCCAAATCGGCACTAGATCTAATTGTTGACAGTCCAGTTCTTGATAGAGCTTGCTATTTACAGAACATGTGGAATACTGTTCCCTTTATTGCTTCCAGTTTGCAGCTACGACAGATTTTTTATAGGTCAGACCCAATTTTATTGCATGTTCTGCCCTTGAGTAAATATTGTGGTTGTTAGTCTGTAAATACTTTTTCTAGAACTATTTAAAAGGTTCTTAGTTTTTTTCCTGTTATAATTATGTCGCATCTGGCTCATTATCTAGCAGTTGGATATGGATTTCCATCTGTCTATGAGCTGTGAGCTACTTGTTCGAATTGTGCATGAAAAAATTTCTTGAACGTTCCTAGCGAGCAGGTATGAACTCCGCCTTAGCCATATCAAAAGATCTTTCAATAATCTCTTTTGCCAATAATCTTCTTGTAGCCAGAAATCTAGATTATTGCTTAATGGAGTACACTTACCATTGAGCTTAAAGCCTTCACATAACAATAGGTGACGATGCTAGAATTTAACTTCGGTGTCGACTATGACAGCAATGCCGCCTGACTCTCTGTGGTTCCTTTCTGTTACCTACCGTAGTTATTCCTTATAGCACTTCCCGTTCAAGATACAATCTGAGACCGATTGATAAATAGAGAGAAATGTCAAGACTTTCCTATAGCTACTGGTGTGCTATGGTTTATACAACGGTGGAACTCCTTATCGTCTCCTGACTGGAGACATCCTTTTCGTCGGATATGATGATATGTCATTGTCATGACCTTTGACTATTAAAAAGAAGATTTTAGCTGCTCTACAAACTTAATTTAGAGTGTTCTTTCTGCTGAACCCAAACTTTTTTCTCCGAAGCTTTACGTACTTACGAACTCAGAATCCTCTAAGGTAGAAAAGAAGTTCGTCTATTGTGAACTTTTTTTATATTTGGTGTCCAGCTTGTGCTCTCACTCGAGAGAGTAGAACAGTTGTTGTTTCTTATTTTTAAACCCCTTTGCATTTCGAGTTTACTTCTTCAAACGAGGGTAATCAGCACTTAAAAAGAAATCCCTCTACTAGCAAAGGCACCGAAACTCCACTTGAGATCGCGCTGATCTTTTTTCTAATAATTTCTTTTTATTTTCCCTCATTTCCAGGAACGTGTCTACGAAGAGCGCAGCATGACCACCGAGACTGCATCGTCAAGCCTCTTCGTACCGACGCCATCACCCATGGCATCGCCTTCCACAAAATTAACGACACTCTCAACGATAACGTAAACCGCAAGAAATCGTGAGAGGAACAATTTACAACAACAAGTAACAAAACTATAAGGACCTGGTGCAACAGTGCTAACAAGTCCAAAAACAAAAAACAAACAAAATAAGAGAAAAGCGAAACGCAAAACATAAATATGCTGAAGCCGAATTAACTTCAAGTAATTACGGTAACAGCTTTTCCCATAAACAAATACAAAATACGCTGGGAGAAACAATTCTAAATATATACATATGTAATATGTAACGGAAAGTTTGGTTAGAAAAGAAGAAGAATAAATGTTAGTGTAGCGAGTATTGAGAGAGACATGTCTTATAAATTTCATATTAACTATAATATAATTGTTTAAGTGTCAACTAAATATTTTTATAATTTTTAATTTTTTCTTTTTTTAAAAACCAAACAAAAAATTGTGTATATGTCTTATATATATGTATTTAGAAATAAACTATAACAAGTGTATGTAAATATTTATAAAACAAAACAAAAGTATCTAAAGACTATGCAGCGAAAGCGTTGAAGTTCGAGATAGTTAGTGGGAGGTGTGCGAGAGAGAGCGAGAGCGCTGGAGAGAATGCATAAGAAATGTAAATGAATATAAAATGCACGGTTGTTTCTAATTGAAATACTAACTATATATTTACATCTTTACATGTGTGTGCAAATGTATGTCAGTAAGTTTATGGGCAAGCAAGCAAGTATGTGTATTTGAAGAGAAAATTAGAACTAAACAAAGCTAAGCGAACCAGATGTTAAATTATGCCGTCAACTCTACCGACTCTCCACTACTACACTGTACAAAATACTTAATGAATTAAATAATAAGGACATTGACCAACTTAACAACTTAATAAATAAATTTTTTGTTTTCACCTTTTCTCAACTAAGCATGTTTCTTTGAAAGCTTATCGAAACAGAATCACAGAACTGACCGAAATGGAAAATTTTTGAATAACAAAAACAGTGAGAAAACATTAAAATGCCTTGTATCCTAAATGACTTTAGGAAAGCATTTTGAAAACAACAATAACAGTAATGGCGAAAGTGCAGAGAGCCAGAAACAAATTATTTACAAAACACAATACTGAAGAACGAGTGCAGAAAATAATATAAATTTTTTTCTTAATAATTACATTTTTCCTATTTGCAACATTGAACAAAACTAAAAATCAGCGACAAACTACAAAAAATAATAAAAATAACAAAAGTACTGAGTCAAACAAAAAACGAAACAAATAAAAATTTAATAAAATTCAAAATATAAAATGTGAAATGAATGTACGCTTAAAGCTAAATATGTTTGAAAAACAAAAACAAAGTGTGTGAAGAGAACCTTCAACGGCATTTATAGAGACGGCACTAAAAGAAATTTTTGTAAATAACTATTAATTATTAAGCGTCTCAACAACAACAACTATGTATAAACAAATAAAAGGAAAACACTGAAAATAGATGTGTCTGTTTGTATGTACATATATAAAAGTGAAACCTTAAAGGTGAACAAAAGTTATAAGTGTAAAAAAAAAGTTTAAAAAGATATTCCGCCTAACCAAATAAGAATAAACTCAAAATAAAAGTAACAACCAAGCCAATGATAAAATATATAAAAATAAAGATATTAGAAATGGAACTAAATTAAAAAAAGTAAAGAAATTGGTAAAAGAAAAATATAAAAACTAGAACAAATAAAACAAAATGAAATAGTACAACAAAAGGAAATAATAAAATAAATTAAAACATAAAAAACGAAATTAAACTAAACCAAAATAAAATAATTAAAAAATATAATTTATAAATTAAAATTATAAATGGTAAAATAAAATAAGTAAACATAAAATAATATAAGAAAAGAATTATATGAAATACTTAGATGCGGTATATTAAAATAAAATAATACACGCTAAGAAAAAAGAACGAAAATAAAATAAAATTACCTAAAAAATAACGGAAAAAAAATAAATTATATACAATGAAATCAAATAAAACAAAAAGAAATTAAATAAAACAAAATATTAATAAAATTAAAATAAAACAAACTAAGTAAAATAAAGTAATATAAAAAATAATAAGAAAACAACAAGAAAAATATAATACAACAAAAAAATTAAAATTAACTCAAAAAGATAAATAAAAAAATTAATAATATTAAATCAAATCAAAAACAAAATGAATTAAAAATAAAATTCAAATTAAACAAAATTATTAAAGAATAATAATTTTACAAAATCAACTCAAATAAGATAGCATAACTTAAAGTAAGCAAAATAATATTTAAAAAAAATATAAAAGCGGCATACAAAATAAAATAAAATAAGAAAAGAAACCAAAATAAAATGAAATAAACAAAATCAAATAAGATAAAATAAAATACAACAAAATAAAATGAACTAAAATTAATATGAAAAATTAAATAAAACAAAACAGTATAAAAGAATTAAAAAATATTAAATAAAAATGACAAAACAGAATTAACTAAAGTATCATAAAATAAAATAAAAAAAAAAATAAATAAAACAAAATAAAAGTGGTGTAAAAACAATAATGAAACAAAAAAATAAAATAAAATAAAAATAATAAAACACAAAAAAAGATATGAATCAAAACAAATATAAAAATACAACAAAGAGAAGTAAGACAAAAAAACACATTAAAATGAAATAACAAAACAAAACTACAAAAATTGCCATAATAGAACAACATAAAATACAATAACATAAAATAAAATGCAAATATAAAACCAAATATAAAATAAAAGCTCAATAATTAAATTAATTTAATTCAAATAAAGAAATAATAATAGAATACAATATAAAAAAAAAAACAAATAAAATGATATAAAATAAAAATAAGTCAAATAAAATATAGTGAAATAAAATACAATAAAATCAAATAAAATAAAATAAAATAAAATATAGTGAAATAAAATAAAATAAAAGGAATTAAAAACTTTGTAAAATAGAAAAAATATTAAGTTAAACGAATTAGATTAAAGTAAAATAATAAAATTAAAAAAAAAATAATTGAATTAAAATATAATAAAAAATTAAAAAAAAATCTATTTATTTAATTTTTTTCTCATTTGTCAATTTTATTTTAAATTAATTCATTTTACTTTTTATTTTAAATAACCCTACTTAAAATAAAATTCATTTACATTTATTTCAAAAAATAAAAATAAACTAAACTATAATATAAAATAAATAAAATGAAATAAAAAGCAAAATAAAACAACATAAAATAAATAATATAAACCAATTTAAAATAATATAAAATTTAATTCGATTTAAAAATTTAAAATAAACTAAACTATAATAAAAATTAAAAAGTTTAAAAAATGTCATAAAAAAATAACATGAAAAAATAATTAAATAAATAGAATAAAATAGAATAAATTAAATCATCTTTAAGTTAAAGTAAACCAAAATTAAATTAAATTAACAAAATCAAATAAAATAAAAAAGATAAATAAAATTTAAAACCAAATAAAATAAAATAACATAAAATAATGTAAAATAAAATAAGATACAAAAAATTATTTTAAAAAACAAAACAAAATAAGTTAAAAAAAATTAACTAAATCAAAAAGGAATAAAATAAAATAATACAAAAAAAAATTCAACTAAATAAAATGTAATTATTTAAATGAAAGAAAATGAAAACGAAATGAAATAAAATAAAATTATATAAAACAAAAGTTATTAAATAAAATTTTTTTTATTACAGAAAAATTTAATAACAAAAGTACAAGAAAATCAAACAAAAATAAGAATAAAATAAAATAAAAATAATCAAAATAAATAACTCAAAATAAACCACCAAAATAAAATTAAACAAAATTAAATAAATTAAAAAAGAGAAAAAAATATTTAATAAAAAGGAAAAAAAAAATAAAATGAAATAAATAACAAATTAAGTAAAGTAAAATAAATTTAATTGTAATTAAAATCGAAATAGAAAGAAACTAAAAGTTTAAAGGAAATTATAAGTAAGCAAATATTGAAAAGTTATTCGTTTCGCAAAAGCGACGAGTAAATTACTGTGAATTTGTGCCAAAAATCGATTAAAACTAGAAAAATTTTGAAATACCAACTAAGTATAACTGAGTATAAAAACTGTAAAAATTGTAAAAATAATTTTAAATAAAATTACTCATAATAATACAAATAAATGTTATAGTTAAGAAATTAGTAATAGTGTATAATTTTTAACAAGCGCAAAATTCGAAGCTAATTTTCCGCATTTCGGCTCACTGTGCTTGACAGTAAACTATTATAAATACATTGCATACTTTTAGGGCTCGTGATGGCTAGGTTATTGATTTTAATGTATATTTTTTCGTGTTCGTGAGTATTCTTTGGTAAATAATTTTGAATGCAATATTTTTTGGAAACATACAAATTCTTTTATTTCGGTTTATTTTCAATTTTAGCTTCAAGACGAATTCTTTACTTTATAATGAAAATCATGTTAAGTGAATTCCTTGCAAATTTTGGTAAAATTGAAATAATTTATAATAAGTTTCTACTTTTAACTACATACATACATACATTTTTTTTAATAAACCTCTAGAATATTTTGAAATTGAATTTGAATTGTAATCAATTGAAAAAAAATTTAAATAAACTTAAATATTCAAAGCTTTTTTTAATTTAAACCAATGGAGTTTTAAAAAAATTCTATTTCAATTCGATGTTATATGAGTTGCATAAAAGGTTGGCACAACATTGTCAAGGGCTCAAACCGACAATGCTGTGGAATCAGCAACTTAAATGACTTGCGAATTAAAATTCCTGGAGAAATATGAATAAATAAAAAACAAAACTAAAAAAGTATTAAATAGAAAAGAGTGAAGGAAATTAAATTAATTGCTAAAAATTAAGATTTATTTCATGAATAAATGAATAGTGGAAGACGAATTGATAAAAATAAATTGTTTATAAGAAGAAGAAGCTCAGTACGAAATTTACAATGTTTAAATAAATATTTTGTTATTTAAATAATTTACTTTTACTTAACATTAAATTAATTATATGTAAATATAATTATTTACAAAATTACCACAAGAGAAGTGGTTTAATTGATTTAATTTTTATCTATTTTTTCAACAAACTTAAAATCTATAATAAAAAATAATAAAAAAACAAAATCAAAAATAACTGTTAATAAATAAATTTAAAAAATTAATAGCATTAAAAGTTAAGGTGGATATTATTGGTTACAAACATATCTCCATCCATGAATGAACAAAACTATATTATGAACAAAAATACGCAGAAAACAAAAAAAATATTGCAATATAACAACAAATATATTGTACAAAAAAAAACAAAAAAAAAAATAAATCTAGATAAAAAAACATT